TTTGTAGCATGTAGTCCATCAAAGTTCAATGTATATTTCGTGAATAGCACTCTTAGCATTGATAAACAGAAACGTAAACATACAAAGAAACAGCTGACTGATAATTCCACACAATATAGCTAGCTTGTGTATGCCTAAATGGGCATAAATTATTGATGCTAGCTAGCCAGCAGTACAATTAAGTTTTATAGAACAGTTGGAGATTTACCCTGTCCTAAAGACAGGGCAGCTTGATGTTGTCCCTTCGGAAGAAGTACCCAATTTTTCACCCTTCAAAAGACCTCCAAGTAGTTGTCCAGGGTCATAAAAGAACTCAATCTTCACAATTTTGTTGTGCTCATCCACCTGTTTGCTCCAGATAGAAAGAATTCATTAATTAACAGAAATGAAAACATATGTAGATGATGATGCTCAAAACCCGTTGAACTTTAATTTTATACAAAAGATATTGGGAGAGGGGAGTATTCTATAATTACTAAGGTATCATGGGGTTCGAACTTAAGACTACTAGTTTGTAAGTTAACGTTTCTTTTCATTGGGCTAGACCCCATTGGAAAACCGGTTTGTACTTTTCACTTACTTAAAAGCTTGTCCAAGGATCTAGCTAAAAGGAGCTCAAAAGCCATAATTTAGAGAAATGTAATATTAAAAATTAAAAGAAAAAAAAAACTCCAACCATATATCATAGTTACATTTCTCTTTGAATTAAAGAGTGGTCGAGCAGGGTTAGAGAGAAAGTACCGTAAAAATGGACATTCCATAGACTTCAACCAATTCTCCAGTTGGGGCATGGCCCTTGAAAGGGCCCTCCATATAGCCCCAGTGCCTGAATTTGTACACAATCTCCGGCGGCCCAGAATAGACTTGAAGGATCTCCAAGGCAAACCCACGAGGGAATGTTGTTGTGAAAGCCTTATGGGATGACTCTGATGTCTCCTTCTCTGGATTATATCCCCTCAGATTCTCAGGCAGTGAGGTCTGAAGCAAGGGGTTGTAGCCCCCTCCAAGTTTGCCTATTTCTTCCAGAGTTATGCCTTTCCTTCCTGATATATATATTGTTCATTAATGATTGATTATTGCAATTCTTAATTAATTAATTAGTACTAAATAATGTATCACTGTATAGTTATTACTTATTACCATTTAGGCTGAAAGTGTGATTGTTGGGATCAAGTGTCTTGAAATCATCCAGGTTGGCCTTATGGAAAACCTCCATCTCCCATGTCTTCACAAGGTTCTGCACCTCTTCTCCTAGTGAGCCAGGTGGCCAAATCTGACATACATATAGTTCCATGCACAGTTAATTTGGGGCAAATTTTTTAATTTTATTTTTGTCAAAGTTTGGAAGGGGGAGGGGAGGTGTCATTGAGTTTGAACCTGAGATCACTAATATGAAGGGAAATGCTCTTATCACTAAGCTATACATCGCTGGCATTTAGGTCAGATATTTAATTAATTAGATGTCTAGGGAAAATATCTGAAACATGAGATCCGTATCATCCAAGAAAAAAAATGATGCATATCAAAGACATGTTTTATATAGTTGACGCCATGCACTGTGCATGATGCACACTCAAAGTACCCAAAAGGGAAAAAGATGAGAGAGAGACCTTGGTTCTGCCGTCTTCAAAGAGCTTGTTAACAACATCATAGCTAGGAGGGGCACCAAACCTCCACGTTGTGTTCTTTTCTCCTTCTCCACTCAAATAAGAACGGTACTTGTCTCCCTCAACATCTGAAGATCCCATGGCCATGCTCAAATGGTAGAAACAAGGTTACTTGGATACTGTTGATCGTGTAATTTCTCTCAACAAGGTCCTGATTATAGGCAAAAAATAGTGACAATAATAGTAGATATATAAATAAATAAATGAAAAAGAAATTATACATAATAGCACCGAGATTGTTAAGCGCCATGTGCTCTCTTCTTTTTGTTTGTGTCGAATATTAATACCTAATTAATATTGGACATATCAACTACTGTGTGTGAGATGCTTCATTTCTTTATAAACTAAATTGTCTGTTCCACATGCACATCCCAGGAAAATCTAGTAAGGCTGCTTGAGGTTTTATTATTAGGAAATGATCATACCAAGAAATTGATAATAAAACTTATCTGTTGCGTTGAATTTATATATAAACACTAAAACCCCTCCAATAGTATTAGCAAACCAAACTCTTCAAATTGAAGTTTGTTGACCTACGTGGCAATTTGAAAAGCTTTGTTTGCTACTTTAATATTTTGTGCCCCAGTAGACTCTTCAATTCAATTAATGCAATGTTATAGAAAATAATGAAAAATATGAAAACATGTGGAAAATGTCTATATATTTATTGTTTGAAAAGAAAAAAAAATGCATGTTTTTAACATTTTCAAGGTAGGTTTTATTTTTCCAAAGTAAAATTAAATGTTTTGAAAAGCCAAGGTCAACTTACAAGTCCTGAAGAGTGAGAAAGAGGTTGCAGCTTTGATGACTGAGTTTGACAATGTTGTGGGAGAGGGTTTTAATGATGTGGCTCACCTATTTTAACATTTCAAAGTTGTTGAAGAGGTTGTTGGAGATGCTCTAAATTGAAGGAAAAATCCAAAAAACTGTAATATTTGTTTTAATTTGAATGATGTGTGAAATACCATTATTATTCACAAAGAAAAAACCACTTATGTCATTGTTGTATAGGGTATTGTGGAGTTTTTCTATATTTTGGACCCTATTTATGGGCTTACACATGTGAAAAGTCTTGGAGGATGAGTTCCATTGCTTAGATACTTCTTTTTTGGAAATTAAAGCTATTGGTTTTAAGTTTGGGCTAAATATCTCTGTTTAGAGGACTTAGTTTTTGAAGCTGATTCACAAGCAGGGGGAGCTAGAATTTATAGTTTGAGGGGGCCAAAACTTCAAGCTCTAAGTGGAAAAATATTTAAATGTTCGAAGCACAAAATTTTGTCAAATATACACGTAGCATAACATAAAAATACTCTTGCAACAGCAAATTTAATATATTATTGTGAAGCAAATATATGGTAACTTATGCTTTAGGTAATAATATTTGTCACCTAAGCCAAATATTTGTAATTGGTTTAGTAATCTACATTTCTCTATGGCTTGAGTTATTGTATAATAATTAGAAATTTCAGGATTCCAAGAGGATCCTCGCGTAGTTTTCTTTTGACATAGAAAAGAAAGTAGAGAGTTTCACTAAAACACCCAAAATGGGAGATGAAATTATAAAAAAAACCGAACACTCAATTATCTGGATATATGGGTTGGAGTGGTTTCTATTGGAGGCTAGGGTTCAAACGGATAAGTAATGCATATTGTATTGGATTATGTTAGGCTGGAAAAGATAAATATCCTTTATTGGCACTAGTGTCCCGAGATGGTGCCTCGGCTTCTGAGTCCTGGGTCCGAAGTAAAGGCGTTGATGTAGTCAAGGGTTACAGTGGGTTGTAGTCCAAGTAGGCTTTCTTTTTTCTTTAAAGAATAGAGCTATAGCTCATTGAGGTTTACATCACCTCAACTTTCTCACTTTGAGCACTACTTCCTCGCTGGGCTCTTTTGGGAATATGGGTTGTTGCTTTCTTTTTTATTCCCTTTTTTTTCTTTCAATATTTGCCTTGGCGGTTTCCCATTTAATTAAGGATCCTAGTCTGACATGATAAAATATCCTAGTCAATCTTTAAAAAACAAAATGATATTTGTGAGCCTGGCAGTCCCCAAAAGATATCTACAACTTTTTTTTTTGTGCTACCAAAGTCTATTCGATCGTTCAAACGCACAATAAAGGTAAAGTTCTTCTCCATAATTCTTCAATTTAATCTTTTCATTCAATTGCCTTCTTTGTTCTTGTGTTTACAACTAATATATATGTGAAAATTAATTATTTTTATTCATTTAGTCTTTATAAAGTAAATTGTTTTATGATTTATATGTGTTATTAGATTATAATGTCACATCAAAACTAAGCAAGTAAAATAGCAAAAATTATTCATTCATTCTTGAAGAAAAAAAAATGGTGGTGATAAATTAGACAATGACAAGGCTCCACCATCAAAAACTATTCATCTCATCACACATCTCCCGTAGTTGAACCTAATGAGTTTAATGTTACTTTCTTGGAACGAGACCCTACGTATTCAAGTATTTGAATACCATATTAATCAACGTGATGAGGTTTGACGTGCTTATATCAAAGTTGGACCTTATCAACCAAAACTTTCATAATATCCAAGGTCTTGGTTTGGATCACAGTATCGTCGATTTCAATATTCTTGGTTCTCCCAATTCCCTTGGTTAGAATATTCCCCTTCAAAAGATAAAGTCTATTGTTTCCATGCTTTCTTTTTGGTAGTGGTCGTCATGCACTAACTATTGAGGGGTTTAGTAATTGGAAAAGAGTTAATGATGGAAAGAATTGTATATTTTTGACACACATGGGAGATCCATCTTCAACGCATAATACTTATGAAAGATGTATGGAGGGTTTGATGAACTTATCTCAACATGCCGACAAAGTTATTAAGCGACAATCAAAGGAAGAAATTTTAAAAAAACCGATTGTGGCTCAAGACAATGATAGAGTGTGTTCAATGGCCTACATATCAGGCATGTGCTTTCATGGGGCATGATGAATCTTTGCACTGTGGCGACACTATTTAATTTTGGTCTTCTTTTGACCTAGTCTTCTAACACGTAACAAATTTTTTTTTTGGCCTATATATGTACATATACATGTACTTGTTATTAACACGTAAAAATAATTATCATGTACAATTTTTTTTAATGAAAATAATAAAAAAAATGAATAGTAGGAGACGATTATTTTAGAGTGCTATTATCGTTCGCAATTGATAACATTTTTCGCCTTTCATTTCAACTTCAGTTCATATATGTTGAATAGCATATAACAAAGAGCCGATCTACGGGAATTTGATCGGCTAAACATATATGCCTGTGTAAATAAGAAGCCTACAATTAAGTTTCAGGAAGCAGTTTTATGAACTACCCTGTACTCCTAAGGACAGGGCAGCTTGAGGCTGTCTCTTGGGAAGAAGTACCCAATTTTTCACCCTTCAAAAGACCTCCAAGCAGTTGTCCAGGGTCGTAAAAGAACTCCACCTTCACAATTTTTTTGTTCTCATCCACCTGTTTGGCCCACATAGAGGGTAACGTGGAGGGTTACAACTTACCGAAAAGGAATTAGTAATGCATAAACTTGGGAAAAACAATTAATTAATTAAAAGAAATGGACAAAGTACCGTAAAAATGGACATTCCATAGACTTCAACCAATTCTCCAGTTGGGGCATGGCCCTGGAAAGGCCCCTCCATGTAACCCCAGTGCCTGAATTTGTACACAATCTCTGGTGGCCCAGAATAGACTTGAAGGACCTCCAAGGCAAACCCACGAGGGAATGTTGTTGTGAAAGCCTTATGGGATGACTCTGCTGTCTCCTTATCAGGATTATATCCTCTCAGATTCTCAGGCAGTGAGGTCTGAAGCAAAGGGTTGTAGCCCCCTCCAAGTTTGCCTATTTCTTCCAGGGTTATGCCTTTCCTTCCTGATATTTGTTGATTAATGATTGATTATTTCAATGCTTAATTAATTAATTAGTACTAGTTAAATATCACTAGATATTAATTATTACCATTTAGACTGAAAGTGTACTTATTGGGATCAAGCGTCTTGAAATCATCAAGCTTGGCCTTGTGGAAAAGCTCCATCTCCCATGTCTTCACAAGGTTCTGTACCTCATCTTCTAGTGACCCAGGTGGCCATATCTGACATATACATAGTTCCATCCAGAATTAAAAACACACCACAAAAATTTAATAGATATTAGCTAGTAGAGAGAGAGAGAGAGAGAGAGAGAGAGAGAGAGAGAGAGAGACCTTGGTTCTGCCTTCTTCGAAGAGCTTGTTCACAATATCATAGCTAGGAGGGGCACCAAACTTCCACTTGGTGTTCTTTTCACCTTCTCCACTCAAATAAGAACGGTACTTGTCTCCTCCTTCAACACCTGAGGATGCCATGCTCATATGGTATAAAACAAAACAAGACCAGTAGATAATATGTTTTCGCTTGTAAGTTTTCTTAACAGGGGTTTTGATTATATAGGCAAAAAGTCCATTGAAGGACGTCATTTAGGGTATCCTAAATAAAAAATTGCAACGATCCAAACAATTTATTTTTTAAGTCAACATTTATAGATTATCCTTACAAAAAAATTAGACAAATCGGAATCCATTGCGACATCCAATTGTATCCTACAAAATCAATGAACACGATACTTTAAGAAAATACTAAAATTTCAATAACACAATTGAGTGTCAAACGATATCGGCTTCAAATGATTTTTTGTAGAGATGATCTAAAATATAGACGGTTTGGATTAGTGAAATACAATACGAAGTGAGCCCTACAAAGGTGTCCCTCAAATATAACAGCTCTCTCTCTCTCTCTATATATATATATATATATATAAATTGCAATTAATCATTTGTAGAATGGCATCAATAGTCGTACTAGAAAAGTCATCAATGACATAATTACAGATGGTAGGTGCCCGTGGCAGGGGCTGCATGTATCCATTACTTATATCATCCTGAAGATATCCACATATATCCCAAAAGAGACACGAAGAGGTATTTGTGGTTATCAAAATACCGTGCTTTGAAGTTGTTAGAAGTCAAAATCACACACTATCTTTAATTATGTATTGTGTGAATAAATTGTACAATTATATGGCTATTCTTTTATGATTTGTGATGTATCATGAATAAGTAAAAATATATTTTATAATAATATATAAGTGATCAATTTTAATAAAAATAAGGCCTTACGCCTTTATATATATATATATATATATATAAAATAAAAATTCGGCATAATTAAAAGTCGGTTGAAAACAACCTTTATAAACCTGAACACGATTAATAAATGAGTAGGGTCCCGTAGTTGCATTCGCCATTCAAATCTCACTATCTACTGCATATAATTCAACCTAATTATTTTTATACGTCTAATAATGATCATTGACTTCTTGTTTCCTGAAACACCAATAAATCTTCATTGTCTTTTGGAAGAGCCATTTGAACAAATTAAATTTGTCTGCTTCTCTAGATTTTGTTTCACTTTTAGGTTTATCACGCAAAAAATTTCTGAAGCACCTAAGAAAATGTCCTTAATTATTTTTACGCCATCAATGAACATAAACCGTACTAGTCACTTCAATCAAGCGTCTTTTGCCTCCACGCGCATCTCGAGTTACAACTAATTGCTCAAAACTAAAGAGAATTGAAATTTTTCTACCCAAAAAAAAGTGATTAGGGAAGTGAATGTAACGAAGTCCATTTAAAACAACCAAACTGACCAAAAAAAGAATAACGAAGCTGTTTGGTTGATGAGAAAAGTCTTTTCCGTTTGGTTCAGGCAACTAAGGCCATCCCCGATGGTTGGGGCTCTAAAAATGGTTTATAGAGCCTCATTTAGAGTTCCGATGGAATCTTTGGGGTTCTAAAGGAATCTCTCCCACAATGAGAGGCTCTATATTTATGGCAGGCTCTATATTTTTTTATGATATAATTTGATTTACGTGGTTTTTTATTTTTTGGGTTAACTGTTTATTCATGTTATGTTATTTTTCGTGAACATGTCAACCAAAAAAAATCAAATTTTGGACAAGATTTGGAAATTTGGACAGCATACAAAATTTGGACAAGATTTGAAAATTTGGACAAGATTTGAAAATTTGGAATAGAGTTGTTGCATTGGGAGTGGAATTTGGTTCATGCATGTTGACCGTTGGAATAGAGCTGTTGAAACTGCTTTGCAATTTTGGTTCATGCATGTGGGCCAACATGCAAATGAACAGCCAAGTTTTTGGTTGATCATGTACAGTCGCAAGCAAGTGGGAAATGTGGGCTGCATCTTTTTCAATTAGTGGGTCCCACTCGGTTTCAAGGGCTTCAACCAAGCTCACACATTTGAGTACTACTCCGGTTGGGCTTTAGCCCCAAATTTGCACCATTGGGGATGCCTTTTTAAAGAAAGTTTGTATAAATTGGAGCCTTGTGGTGGTTGAGCCCCAAATAGAGCCCCCATTGGGGATGGCCTAATAAATCTTCATTGTCTTTCGGAAGAACCATTGAACAAATCAAGTTTGTCTGCTTCTCTAGATTTTGTTACTTGTCACTACATGAAGATATCTAGCAAATAACATGTTGAATGTGGTGGTGATCAACAGCAAATAACATTTTATATATATATATATATATGTATAAAATATTGTCGTCTTTTTTCTTTCGTAGGATTTTCCTATGGTTATATGGCCACGGTTTTGAGCCAGAATTTCATGTGTGTGGAGACCTCTCATAAAGGTTTTGAACTCATAATACATGCAAAAATTAACCAAGAGGATGAAAATATTTTATACACATATATCACATAATTGTTGGACCTCCTACAACTTGCTTAATTTATTTCCGTTCTCCCTTGAGAACTTATTTCTCAGTTGTTGTTGGAAGTTTAAAGGAAATTCAATGACTTTTGTCCCACATTGGTATAAAAAATAAAAAGTGAGGTCTTTATAAGTGTGGTAGCCCTAAAAAATGTAATTGGAAGTTGAGCCCAGTAGAAGGCAATTGGGCTTCAAATTCAACTTGGGCATTGAATACGTAATATATAATATTTAATTATAAAAAAGATGGCCATGGGCCTTGGGCCTTGGGCCACTTGGGCATTTAAGATTTAAATTAGGGAGTTTCACTAATACATCCAAAATATTGGCTGAAATTATAAAAAAACCCCACATGAAAAACACTTTATATTAAACACACCCAAAACCCATTTATAAACACACCCAAAAAATATACAATTGTTTATTTTGGGTTTATTTTGGATGTGTTTCTATGTTTTAAATAGTGTTGGGTATATTTATAATTTCATGTCTAGGATTGGGTGTTTCACTAATTTTGTATTTAAATTAATTATTTAGTTTCGAATTAATACATTAATTTTTTTAATTAATTCAGATTAGTTTAACTAATTTCAGTGGGGGCCTATTTTGTTTTTATTTTTACTTTTAGTAATAAATAGTATAATATATTGCCATTTAATAATCACATACATATGTATTTTTCAACAATACTTCCATTTTTCATACACAAGGAAAACGTACAATACACGTACGTGAGGATTTTTCAAGTTTAATATGCATGTTTTTACAAAATCGTCAACAATGCACACAAAATTCACGTATTATACACACAATTTTACATATTATCGAATAAAAATAATACATATTGAAATATTATATAGTGGCCGAACTTTATAATCTTTCATATGCTTGGTAGTAAGGTAAGTTAGCCTAAGGAAAAAGAAGAAATAGATTCATGCCCCCTCTTGCAGGGGTTTTTTTAAAATTTTCTATACAGTTGAATATAACATATTTCGAGGGTATAGCCGGCCGGCTATACTGTGAATTTTTAATTTTTTTAACGAAACAGTACTCTTGAACATACGTTGCTAATTTTCTTTTAATAAATAGTATCGCCGACCGGCTATACTCCCCATTTTAAGGAGTATAGCCGGGCGGCTATACTGGGTTTTTGGAAAAAAAATTTGAAAAATGGTGTAGCCGAACGGCTATACTAGTAAAATAAATTGGGCATTTGGAAGTTGGGCCACACTGGGTAATAGGAAGTTGGCCCACACAAGGTGATTGGAAGTTGGGCCAAGTAGAAGGTAATTGAGCTTCAAATTCAACTTGGGCATTGAATATGTAATACTTAATATTTAATTATAAAAAAGATGGCATTGGGCCTTGGGGCACTTGGGCATTTAAGATTTAAGTTAATTATTTAGTTTCGAATTAATACATTTATTTTTTTAATTAATTCAGATTAGTTTAACTAATTTCAGTGGGGGCCTATTTTGTTTTTATTTTTACTTTTAGTAATAAATAGTATAATATATTGCCGTTTAATAATCACATACATATGTATTTTTCAACAATACTTCCATTTTTCGTACACAAGGAAAACGTACAATACACGTACGTGAGGATTTTTCATGTTTAATACGCGTGTTTTTACAAAATCGTCAACAATGCACACAAAATTCACGTATTATACACACAATTTTACATATTATCGAATAAAAATAATACATATTGAAATATTAGATAGTGCCCAAACTTTATAATCATTCATATGCTTGGTAGTAAGGTAAGTTAGCCTAAGGAAAACGAAGAAATAGATTCATGCCCCCACTTGCAGGGTTTTTTTAAAATTTTCTTTAATAAATCGTATAGCCGCACGGCTATACTGTTGAATATAAAATTTTTAATTTTTTTAACGAAACAGTACTCTTGAAACATACGTTGCTAATTTTCTTTTAATAAATAGTACTTAAACTAAATTGAACTAAATTTAAGCCCAACGGATAACTTGAACTAAATTTAGAGCTTGTCCAGAAATTACTTATGCATAAAAGTACTTAGATGTTTTACTGAAGAGCACGCCATATGTGCTTTTGATTAGAGGTGGCAATTTCGGACACGACCCGATACACGACTCGAAACCCGCACGAGAAATTAGCGGATTCAACTTGTACGATAAAAAAACATGTCAATTTCATGTCAACCCATTCTGACCCATTTAATAAACGGGTGGGTTTCGAGTCAACCCACTAACCCGCTATAATACCTTTCTAACCCGTTTATTAAACGGGTAGTGTCAACCCGTGTAATACACGCTAACCCGCTAAAAAATGAAGAAAAATGGAGACTTCAGCACACACACAAGGGGTTTCAAATCCCTACCACCCTCATTTCTCTCAAACATCTTATCCAACATGCTACAAACAACTTTGTGATTTTATGGTATGGCTTTTGATATTTATAATGTTTCTTTTTCTTTTATGGTATGGCATTTGGTTTAAATTTTTGTGATTTTCTCAAACACGTGTAATGCTTAGAGTGGACAATGCAAGCGATTATGATCACAAATTAGCATTCCTCGACTCCATATTTTCTGAAGGCTTTTTATCACAAATGGTCCCTGAAGTTTGCCAAATTATCATCTTTGATAATTTATGTTTTTATTTATTTATAACATCATTGGTCCCTTATGTTACATCTCACACATCAATTTGGTTATGCCATCACGTTCTATCAAAATTTTCCGTTAAATTGCTAACGTGGATTAAACAATGTTTTAAATATTTTGGGTTTTATCACAAATGGTCCTTGAGATTTGCAAAATTACCACCTTTGGTCATTTACATAGCCAATTAGAAAATATCAAGTGGAACTAAATGAAGAAATATTTATTCAAATCCACTTGATATAATTTTCTCAATAAGTTAGAGGAATCAATTGAAACTCGAGGTAAAAATTAGGAACCTCGAGAATTAAAAATCCAATTGATTATTTCTTCTCATATATTGAATAATGCCATCACCAATACGTAGGAGCGGACACATGTCGGGTCAATCTTGGTTAAGAGCCAACCCAGAACCTGACCTAATTAGATTGTATTCCATCTCGTCCCTAAACGAAGCAGCACCTTTTATGACCCAAAAACAAAGCAGCTCCTTCAACTAAAGTATTAATGAACTGAAATTAAGCAAATTGAGGGTTCAAAATTTTTAGGCCCAACATTCTAACAACTTGTTAATTAAATTGACTTCAGTTGAGTGTGAGTGTTAGCAGAAGCGTTTTTATTTTTTATTTTTTATGGTAAAATTTAGTGGAAGAAACCCTAAATAAATTCCCTGAAAATGGTTACATAAAAAAACTAAAATATTAAACTAAAATAAATAAAATTAAGGGTTAAAGAAGGAACCATCAGACACCAAATTTTCATCCCCATTAGCAAAGAGCTGTACGGTCCGCATCATGGTTAGATCAAAAGATCCCATCACTTGGTCCCTCCAATTCTGATATTCAATCCCAATTAAAAAGATGGGATGAATTCAAAATACCCTTTTAATTTTGGATTCAAATAAAGCATAAACACCTAAAATTGGAACAGAAAAACAAGTGAAACTGAAAAAAGAGGAGCTGAAAATTAATAAGAATAAAAAAGGAGGCTCAGAATCAATGGGTATGAAGAAGGTTATCAGCACAGATTGATTAAAATCATCAGAGTGGTGCATGACTTCCTCAGTTCTTCATCACTGCCCCAAATATAAAACACACACAGACACACCAACTCAGAGAGCGAGAGACGAAGAGAGGCTGAGAAACAAAATAACAGAATGCTATGTTCTACAAGAGTGCTTTCGCAGTCTTATTTATAGCGACATAAACAAAACCCTAGCTCCCCAATTTTATGACGTGCAAAGACAAATTTACCCTAGCGAAGGTTGGCAAAGGCCCATATATTTTCTTTTCGGTCTGAATCTGAAGAGAAGGCCCATAGGATTTTTTTTCCTTCTAACTTTTATGCTTTAACTTTTTTTTAAAGGAACATATAGTTTTTTTACTTATTTTTACATTTCTCAATAAATGGCGATGAATTATTCTTGAGATAATTTTTTTTAAAAAAATAAAACAGACATCAATAATGAAAATCAAAGGTTTTTTTTTTTGGTTACATTAGAGGAAACCGGTCCGGTGAACCTATCCTAATCTTATCTCATCACCCACGCTTTCAAAATAAGCAGACAAATTGTTAAATGAGTCAAGATCTGAAAGGAAAGACAAAAACAATTTTGACTTGGGATAATGCTCTACACACCCAAAATAAACACAATGCAATTTGGTAACCAAATTATAACGAGCACAAGGATCTCTTTCTACTAAATTTACAATATAGAAGGTAGTGAATCTGGCCTAATCAAATGTAGTTTTCTGAAGAAAGCATGTCTCAAGAGAGCGATGAAACAGGCTATCATAACACATCCTGTACTAGAATAGCTTCTGCCAAAATTAAATTTTATTTCCATTGCTTATACTCAAATCGTTATGTGGCCTAGCGTTCACATAGACAAAGTGGTATTAGCTCTGTCCGTCGCTCCGCCATTCTGTACTGTGCACATAAAAAACAATCCTTTCTTGATGCCAAAATTCATGAATATTTGTTTTTGTTGACGAGTTAGCTCCATAAACCAACAGCTCTTCTGGCCAGCTAATGTATATCAACGTCTTCTAAAATCACGTTGAACTCACGACACCATTTACAAGTTACTCCGGTGATGGTCTTACATATACTTTTGTTAACATCATCTCCATGCTCTATTCCGAGATGTTGAAGCTTTAGACTGGGACTGCTGTCTCCTCCCACTAGACAAACCACTGTCACTGATACTCCCTTCAACAAGATTGTCACGAACTTCAGAAAATTCTCTATTCCATGAATTCAAGGGGATAACATAACTATCATCCCTTATGCTCTTCCTCTGCTCCTCATGGCGTTTCACATTCTCAGATATCTGATGCAAGGTTTTATTTATCTTTGCAAATCCTCTTTCGACTGGTTCTACCACATGGGAAACTGTATACTTCATGTCATCAACAATCTGAAACAACAAATGAGAACATTAAAGTGACGATGAAGTCCAGAAAAGAGTTTTAAATGAAAAAGTGAAGGAATAAGTTATAAGGGTTAACTTCTCACAATTTCACCGCTTCCAAAAATCACATCACGAACACTTTGGGGGAAATTCAAGCGCTTTTCTCTCTCATCATGCCGTGCCAGATGTACTCTGGTTGTTCTTTCACAATCACGTACCTCCTCTGGATCAGGAGGTGCTCCCAATGATGCATAGTCAGTCATCACAGCAACATTACGCACACATCTTTCTCCTCGTTTGTAAGGTACTGCTGGAAAGACATAAAGGTGAACCACAGCAGCCACACCCATCTGTTTGACAAGTTTGAAATCACAACCCTTTGAACTTCAGGATCATGTTTGGAAAAGCTTCTATGGACTGAACATCAACCAGAACTTACAACAAACAGGTACACATAGAACCTATTCAGAATACTTGACTCATGTATCATAGACTATTATTATACACATAAAATCAGAGTAATTGTTGAATATTTTTTGGAAACATAACCATAGTAATTTATTCAATTCCTCAAAGTATCTAAATATTTAACAAATGGATCCTAAAGAAGATACTTATGTTTTTTATTACTAACAATGGATAACTCTAATTATCCAACTTTAAGGTTAATGTAAATGAGATTGAACTTTTATTGTTCAGCTTTTAAGATTGACCCACACCTTTGATCAAATAACCAAACAAAAAATAAGATATAATATTGAAAAACCTAAAAACAAAAGCAATCCTGATAAGACAAATAAATATAACAATAGTTGAATTAAGAAAATAAGCATAAATACAATGGTAACAATCACTAACATAAAACTAATCACTGAATTTTCCTATTGACTTACTAATGATCCTAAATATACAAATCATTATCACGAACAGAGAATCAATTTCTAGATATATTCAAATTCAAATTCTACAGTCATCATCTGAAAATGCCGTTTTCCAAATATTTGCAAATGGCTACACAGACTGAGAAGTGTTTTACACTTGATTCTCGTTTATGCATCCTTCAAAACAAATTAACCTTGCACACCAAGATTCATTAGATTTCAAGCTAAACTTTGGCCACAACTGGAATAAGCTTAGTATGCTTAAGTCAACAACGTCATTTTATTTCCAGTTCGAAAAAATTGTTGACTCAAAGTTCTCATAAAATAATGGTGAACCAGAATTTAAAACTTTTATTAGAAAAGTGTACACAATTTTCCGGTCATTCTTCACACACAGCTCTATTAATTGTTCATAGTACTGTAGCTGCAGATTTTAATTACATGCTTTTTTTATGTTCTTACTCACTTATTTTGGACTGCTGATTATTTTGAAAGATAGAATTTAATCTATACAAGAGCCTCTTAACATCTTGTTATGAAAGATAACCTTTGGTTTTTCTATTTCTTTTAAGAACTTCAGGATTTTACTCTGACAGTAACAAAAAGGAGGTTCTTCCATTGTTTTCCTTAAAGGAACATGGTATGATTACAATTTAAGTAGAGTCTACTTTATAGTGCAATAACTTAGAACTACCCACCTAAGGGATAAACTTGATCTCCAATGAGATCCTGGGTTTCTTCTGATCATCCAAAACATTGGTCCAACTAATTAATTTATCTACTTCTTTTCAAAACTAATTTGACGCTTTCAATTTCAATTCACTTACGTTTTCATGTCAAATTGTTAAAGATATATCAGGCCTTCATGCCCTACAACATTAAACACAATACAATTTAACAGTACATGTAAATGGTTAGTTAAATTACTCACCTCTATGCATATGATATAGTCTTGTATGCGAGTTTTCAGCTCTTGAGCCAAAGACCCTTTGAAGGCACCCATAGAGAAAAGAAACGCAACAGCGATACCTTGCCACCATGTCAAGAACACAATTGACTTGAAAGTCAGAAACTTCGCTAATGGTTTAATGGGTTGTAATTTGTCTTTAATAACAGAGTAAAACTGCACAAGGCAATATAGGGCCCACGTCTGACTAAAATTAAGAACAACTGCCAAGTAAGGATAGCTGCAAGCAAACAAAACTAAGTCAGAACAATATATATATATATATATATATGAGACACACAAAAGAAACAAGTCCATCATTAAAAGCGAAATGTAATAAAATCACAGCTGCCAACAAGTCATCCTAAGCACACACAAAAACTTCTGTGCTCAAGAAATTGTCAGTATGTGTAAATGTCTGTGCGTGTGTGGATCAAGCATCACTACATATGACATATTCAACCTGTCATCTAAGCAGGCACAAAGATTTATCTACTTGTAAAGGTTAGCTTTAAGACCTAAATGATACAAAAGAAAATATATTACCCATATCTCCAGTCAAATGTCCCTTCTCCATAAACACCAAAAGTCTCAAGAATCATTGCGAGAAAAGCGCAGATCAATTTCAGTATCATCTGGAAAATAATGTGTCAGAGAAGACCAAATAAGGCTGAAAACTTCGAAGGAAATAGAATGATTGAAATAAAGTTTCAGCAGGAAATGTGTACATACATACTGAACGATGCCCACTTTCACAGCATGGTAGAATGTGGGACCAAGAGGCCAGTCACCTATGAGGCAATTTAGTGGGAAGGGATGCTCTACAACTCCATAAGCGTAAGCATCTTTCAAAAGAGGTGTACTGGAATCGAGTACGCTCTGACTCTCCATAAATTCAATTGTCCTCTTCTCACCACCTTAACATAGAAAAATATTTGTCCACAAAAAGGATTTTTTTCAGGGTTTATGTTATTAAAGATGTCCAACAAACCTGGTTAAGTTTGCATGAATGCATTCAGACTGCGCACACAAGAACAGTCATTCACATTTCAGTTACATACCTAAGCAGGCTATCAGGTATCGCTCGAAACAATATAATGCAAAAGCTTCATAGCAGTCCCGAATTGCTTCGCAGTTGAAGGCAGCATTTGAGTCCAACAGCGACAAAAACTACAGCCAAAAGTGTTATCATGCGCAATATATTACTAATCCATCAAATGGTATGTACTAATGAAAAGGGAAGCGGTACAAACTGGATACTTGATAGAATAAAAGCAGTCAGATACTAAGAAAAACAAAAGGATCAACTACATGCAGAAATCTTACTTTTGTCATATAGTTTCCACAATAAGAACAGATTTCATGAACTGAAATTCTTAAAGAACTGTAGACAAAGGGCCTGTCTATGCAGAAATCTTATAACTGTCATAACTCTAGGATTTGCAGTAAAAGTTTAGTTCCTTCCTTTGAGAAACTTTGCCAAATTATCTCCGGTTTTAACAAGAATTAGAAATTAAACTCACTTATCTATAAAATGGGTAATAACCTAATCTGGCAAAAGAAATTAAATACATCCAAACTCTCCATCTGTCATTTCGACAAGTTGTCAATATCTAACTATTATATTGCAATTGAATCCATGTACTTATCAAAATATCTGGCATTCTACAATTTGTTTTATCTGCACAAGGAAACATGACCTCTCCATATACTCCCATTTGGAGTTGTAGCCTTCCAAATAGAACCCTGCCAATAATAAATCTGCTACACAAGTGTTCCAGAGGAATGCACATTCATTTGAGCCCCATATCAATACCAATAACTATGTAAATAGCATGTTTTTGGGTTAAGCATCATGTTCCAATCTGATTTTCTGTTTCATACTAAATTTGTAACTATTCTCTAACTAATTGAGAAGGGTAAAGTAGTAAAACGCCTTCATTTAAAACAGCCTTTGAACTGCAATTATATATACTCGTGTGTTTCTAAGCTTTACTCAATATATTTAAAAAAAGTGTGATTCATCACAATATAAATAGTTATAACTCATATAGAGTTATAAGTGAAACTAGCATACAACTAAAGAACGTGATCACAGAATGCAGTGTGTCGTACCGATTCCAGTGCATAAACAGGAACCATTAGAATGAGACCAATCAGAAACTTCTGCTCCTGAAAATAGATAAAGGAGAAGAAAATACATATGTCACCACAAAAGATGAATCAAAGTTATCTTTAGATAGAAGCAAAACAAAATTTCACAGGAGAGCAGATATATAATTAGGGTATCACCAAAAAAAAGTGCAAAAAGAAACTTTTTTTTTCTTTGACAAATAACAAGAGGAACAAGATTAGACCTCTGGTTGATTATAAGCAGCTAAATGCTCGAAGATAAGGTACATGGAGAGAAGAAGAGCAACAAGTACGAATATGCTAGCACTGAGGATTGGCCAGCTGAAGGCTGCTGCTGATTCAGCACCAAGGTTAAGTGACCACATTTCTCCTAATCTGCTGGAGGCTTCGACCATGGATAAAAAGAAAAAGGAAGAGCATAAAATGCCCCTCCATCCCATTGAATCTGGATCTTGGACTATATGGTGAAGTTAACTTTGAAAAGTCACTGAACCAAATGTGCTTTATCGATTTTGTTTTTTTTGTTTTTGGTTAGACTTTATTTGAGCTTTCACACCACTTAAGTGATCTATTTAGTCCAAGATGAATTCATCAGTCCTTCCTTTCAGAGGTCCTCTTCTCCTCTCTTTAATAAAACTGCTCCTGGCAAAAAATTATGATGTCACAATAGAGAAAAGCCAGCCACCTTCTTGCCTGCTAAACAGCTCATTGAAGATATTCTGCAGTACAAGCATACCATCTAAGCCATATGCGAATCTTTGCTATATGGACATAAAAGAAGAAGCCCGGGTAAATAAAACAAAATCTCCCATGAGAAAAGGAAACTTTTAATTAATGTGAAAATTAAAACAACAGCATTTAATAGGAAGAAAATCTTTATAATAATGAATAACTATCCTTTTAACTCATGATGTAATACATAAACTACCTCCAATATAGTGCATTATCAAAGCTGAAAATGCTTCTTTTTGACATAAATGTCTGACATCGTGATATCTCTTCCTTACAAGCACCATGCAAACCCAGCTAACATGTTTGCCAACTTTTTGTTTGGGTTAAGAAAATTATAAATTTATTTGCTCAATTATCCTTACCAGATTTGCCCAAAATGTGGGTTGGATTCGGGTTAGTCATGTTCGCCCAACCCCATGCCCACTCCTAGTTTTTGTCAAGGCTTGGACCAAAAATTGTGGAGCTTAAATGAAACATCTTGCACCTTATCAGCACTATAGAAGTCACAGTTTCTACAATTAATACACTTAACAGACCTATAACATATATCTAATCGATACAAAACACAGTGATCCATATACTCATCATCAGTATCACAATTTAAGCATGAAGCATTAACACATTCTACTAACCAATCATTGAATATAAAGCTAAACAACCAAGTAAAACAATGAAAATCACTTTTTCTTTGTCAGCCAAACCCAAACAACTTAGTTCCACCGGAACCTTGACTTCCAGAAGCAGAATTACAAACAACAGCAATCAATAAGAATAAATAGCACATTCTTCACTAAAAATCAAAGGAAGAACCCTAAAACATCAATGACAGAGGAGATGATTAACCTATGCGAAAGAATTGAATATGGGCCAGAAATAGAACCAATTCTTGAAAACAACAAAGAAAAGAAGAAAAGATTTCAGCAAAGACAATTGAAATGAGGTCTTAGGGTACGAACCTGAGCTCGGGATTTTCCCGGGAAATTTGAGAGTGATTAATTTCCGAGAAAGTCGAAAGAAACAAATTATAACTCGTTCGGAAAAGAAGACGCTTTCTTTTCCTTCGGCGGTTGGGGAAGACTATGGTAGCATTAGTTTTTTATTTTTTCATTTAATATTAAAAAAGAAATAAATGTAAAAGTCACAAGGCGGTGACCTATTGTTGTAACAGCATTACCTCTGAATGATGCGGGTCCAGGTGATCCTACTTAAGCGATCAAACGTCTTTGTGGATTGTCGTTTCGTGCGTAAGCTATTTGCCTGTCGTTTCGAGATGGATAACGTTGAATCAAGAAAGGGTAACTTAATTTCCACGCAAGCAAGTGGACGTGGCAATATCTCAGTCCAGGCTTCCACGTCAGTTCTGGACTTTCTGAGAGTTTAGGACTTCAGGTCTCCTCATTGGAACTCCCCTGGCACATCCCCACCAATTAAAAAGATTTAAAATATTAAGGTAGAATAATTCAAAGTGATTTTTTCTTCTCGCTAATAAGAGAGAATTTATATATGTACAAGTATATAAAAAATAGAAAAGTAATTACAATCTCATCTAATACAAGAATCCTATAATTATACGGAATTATAATTCCTAATTAAAAATAATTACATGATTTACGTCAATACTCTCCCTGAATGTGGTGCATATACATCTCTAATGCTCAACTTGACAAGTGAATCATGGAATGCTTGACTAGATATGGCTTTTGTCAGAATATTTGCTAGCTCTGTAGTCTTCACATATGGTATGGAATATATATAATATTATCTTCCAATTTTTCATACACAAAATTACGATCGATCTCCACATGCTTGGTACTATCATGCTTTATCGAATTCTCTTCAATTTACTGATTATCACAATAAAGTTTCATAGTCCCTTTAGCAACCACTTTCTGTTTTTTACTACGCCATGTAACTAGATTTCCTCATACAAAGGTAAAATACCCAGAAGTGGATCTTCGGCTGAAACCTTTGCCACCCCAATCAGAGTCCATATATCCTGCAATCTCAAAGTGTCTATGCCTAAAAAAAAGCATAAGACCTTTCCCATGAGCATATTTCAAATAACGCAAAATTCTCATCATTGCACTTATATGGACTTCATTTGGATCATGCATAAACTTGGACTTCACAACACTTACTGCATATGCAATATCCGATCTAATGTGTGAAAAATAAATTAATCTACCAACTAACCTTTGATATCTCTCCTTAATAGTTGGTACCTGATCTGGGAGCTCCTCCATATAATAATTCTACTCTATGGGCGTATCAATAGGTGGACATCCTAACATACCAGTTTCCTTCAATAAATCAAATATATATTTTCTTTGGGATAGAAATCTACTTTGCTTTGAATGAGTAACTTTTATACCCAAAAGATATTTTAATCCTCCACGATCCTTCATATCGAACTTAGAAGCTAAATAAGTCTTCAGCTTCTATCTCCTCAACATCATCTCATGTCACAATCATATCATCTACATATATAATGAGTGCGGCAACTTTGCCATTTTGTCACTTGAGAAACAAAGTATGATCTGCATTACTCTGCACATAGCCATATTTCTTTATGGCCGGTCGAAACTTCACAAACCACACTCTAGGAGACTGCTTCAATCCATATAAGGCCTTTTTTAATTTGCACACAATGTCTATTCGTCCAGTAACACTGTAACTAGGAGGTATACTCATATACACTTCTTCACATAAATCACCATGTAAAAAAGCGTTTTTTCACATCATACTGCTGCAGGCCAATCTAATAAAAATGAAATGGTTATTAAACAAGCCCGTAATTAGCGATTGAATAATATTAAACTTGCTAAATATTTGGAGGATTTACCATCGTTATTGCAAATTTGTCTAACTCCACCATAAGGCAAATGTGTTATGTTCGGATGGGCTAGTTGTCTTATATGACTTAAGCGCATTGTACTTCGAACTTGATTGCTAGGATGATGAGCATAATTCTCTAATTAAAAGACTGGAATGCTTGCTCTCCTATATCTTCTATATGAAGGAATGGGGAAGAAATGAACCTCCATATAGTTAAGGTATTATTTTTGTCTTTTCAAAATTGAATGAGGTTGAATTGAGAGATTACCATTGTTATTGAAACTTTGTCTACCTCCACCATGGGCAATTATATCCTATTCGAACATGCTAGTTGCCTTATATGACCTAAACGCATTGTATTTAGAACTTGATTGCTACTGCCTACATTGAATGACACTATGTTAAGGTGTTGGACTTCTTCAACACTATAATTGGCTCGTCATCGTGCTAAATATTCATCTGGTTGTGCCGAGCTCATTAAGTTCCTTCTTGTCCTTTGACGATTACGCCACCGCTCTCGTTGGTTTTCTCTCTCTAATACATGTGTATTTTGTTGTTCAACAAAAGTTATTAATTTGTTATACAGAAATATTAATCACTCTCTAAACTTTTTTTTATATAATTGTTTTGTTATGCAAAAATTATAATCAGTTTATGGCTTTGTTTGCATTTTTTTTATGTGGACTTTGTGTGCATTTGTTAGTCACTACTTTTATAGTCATTGTAAATTTATTTTTTTAAACGACAATGTTGTGTGTATGTTAGATGATTGTTTAGTGTCTGTAAAGTTGCAATTTATAGTTTGTGTAGTGCAGTGTGTACCGCGAAATATGACTTGCAACTTCTAGTGTGTAACTGACATATAGTGTGATTGAGTGAGTGTGAAACCCATGCATTTTTGTTGAAAAGCATAAAACCCAAAGAAATAGAAATGTTATGCCTTTTTATTTATTTATTGCAGTTTATGTTTTTTGTTGTGTTTTTCTTATAGTTGTAAATGATTGAAGTTTTTGATTTAATTTTACTTTATTGATATCTACATTATTTTGTTTTAGAGTAGTAGTTGATTGCAATTTATGTATAACTCTATAGTATGATGGATTTGGCACAAATTATGCGCGAATCGATGTTGAAATGAATTGTAAACTCAAAAAAAAAAACCTTTCATGGTTAATATAAATATTGTGTAAATAATAATATTACAAAAGAAAGGCTGGTGTAGTGGTTTGTAATTGAAGCTTGCTCCTTTGAGGATCAAGGTTCAAGTCCCTTTAAGTGAACAAAATTTTCTTATACCTATAGGATGAATTAAGGGCGTTGGAGGTGGTGGCCCCGACTAACCGGCGAGGGGAACGTTGAACATGTGGCATAGAGCCAGTGACGGAGCCATTCCCTAAGCCTGGAGTGGCCCTGAATGAGCTGCACCTTTCACATGATGAGGCTAAAATTCTTGGGTCGCTTTTTAATTTTTTTTTCTTGTTTCACATGACATGCGATTTTTGTGGGTAGTTTTATTTTATTTTATTGTGTATTGACTAAAATACCCACATGGCTTTTAATATAAAATTTTGTTAGGGCCGTTGTTTTCTTTGTTTTAGGGGTATCTGTGTTTATTTTTATTTTTATTTTTATTTTTTGTGACATGACCCGACTGTTTTCGCCTAACTTTATAATAGTAGATATTGTTATTTTTCATGTAGAACAATTGTAGTTTCATTTATTTGCATAAAAAATAAAACTCAAAATGACATGTTTTACTTAGTTCAATCAATCAATAAAAACAACCACTTAATCATGTTAAACACACAACACAATAATGGATTAGTGTTATCCATTCTAATCCAAAGCAATCCAATCCTACTTCATAATCCAATTCAATTCCGATCACCAAACAAACTCATAAAGCCATGCCCAAAACAATTGGAATGATAGACTTTGCCAAAGAAAATTGGACAACAAAACCCCTCAAACAAAAAAATCAACCACTAATATGAATTTCACATTCAAGGTTCATATGGGTATTATTGTAAACTAACAAAAAATTATAATCTTATATATATAAAGCAAAATGTAGAGAATGGTAAAACATTCAAAATACCAAAAATATAATTGATTAATGCAAACATTAAAAATTGAAATTATTAATTAAATAAGGACAATATGGTAAATTCACATTTTTTCATATTAAAAAAATTAAAATTAAAAGAAAAATCAGATAATGGATTCTATTTTTATGAAAGATAACTGCCCATTATCTTTTTCAATTCTAAAATGAATTTGTAAAATTTAAAAAAAAACCTCACGCAAGCAAGTGCAAAAGGCTAGGAAAAGAAAAAAGATGAAACACACACCTAACGTAAATCAATCCAACCCATTGAAAACGATATCTAACCCATTTGCTTCAACGAATTCTGTCCTTCGGATTCAAGATCCCCCACAAACGCTAAAAACCATCCCACATCGTAGCTGTACTGAAAAAAAAAAACAAAAAAAACCAGTCGGTTTAGTTTCAACTTTGAAGCGCTCCCATTATCCCACTTCATTTTATTAACTGTTCTTTCAGTTTAATTGCCTTCCTGCAGACGGCAGAGCATCAACGAAGAAAGCATTCAGGTTTGGTTTGGATTTCTAATATTATTTTTTATTTTTTATTTACGCAAGATTTCTTCACTATTATTCCTGTTTTTTTTTTTTGGGTTCGGCAAATGGGTTTCGTCTATTTTGATTTTCTGAGTTTTGTTAATCATTATCTCATCGAAAATTACTTCTTCTCAGGAACTACTTACCCATCTCAACATCTATTTGACTCCAGAGTTTGGTAAGCATCAATTTTATGGCGATTGTTTTGCAAATGTACGAAGATTCAAAACATGTGAGTAATGCTTCATGTTACCATATTTTATTTTGAATTGAATTTTCATACATCATCTTGCTATATGGTTTGGGCTCTACATATGATATGATTTTGAGCTGCGTAGCTTTGAGTAGTTATTACTTTCATGTATATATACCGAGGAAGAGCAAACAGTGTAGCAAATGCTGAAACCCCCAGTAGCTAACTAGTCATTGGCCAACTGTGAAAGATACTCTTGTATAAAATTTACCCAGCTAGCTACCATTTGTTTTCGATACAGACACGTAATTCTCTTGCTGTTTTTGTCCTATTTTTTCTTTGTACTCGTTTCTACATTTCAATTTTTATTGTAACTGCAAGATACTTTTCTTCACCCTTAGTCTACTTACTTGGTTATGCAGCTTGTAGGAGGGGAAAAATAAGAATCCGGCAACTTTTCCAACCTCCTAAATCCATAACATGATGAATCCCTCAAATCTCATCCATCCCTCTAAGCCTTTTGTCTCTCCTCTGCATTCCACTCCTCGCGTCAGGTTCACACAACGCAATATCTTTTCAGATGGGCTTGTTTTCAAACACTTTTATGCTCTTCTTTCCTATACCTGTTTTCTTGTTGAAGTTAGTTCTGTTTGGTTGCGTTTCTCTTATGCATATATCTCTCTCACTGTCTGTTTAGGACCAATTTTACCGAGAACATTGCCATCGAAGGTCGCAACCTCAGCTTCTCGGTTGGGACAAGGCAAGGTAAAACCATACCCATTCTTAAAGATTGCTCTCTTCACATTCCTTCGGGGCAGTTTTGGATGCTTCTTGGACCCAATGGTTGCGGGAAATCTACCCTTTTGAAGGTATGTAAAAAATCCACAACATACCTTTCATGCTTGAAGGATTTTAGTTATGTGGTATTTTTGGGTATTTGGTTTGATGTTGTTTTTCATGGTTTCGTTGGTTGGTTCTTTTAATGCTGTACCCAATTAAGAAGATAATGGTATATTTTCTCTACATTGTTCTGAAATTTGCAGATTTTGGCTGGTCTGTTGAATCCAACAGATGGAACTGTGCATGTGAAGAGGCCTAGGAGTTTTGTTTTTCAAAATCCCGACCATCAGGTTCATTATGATGATTTATGATTTCTATCATTTAACATTTACCTTCAACTTACTAGCTTATCATTAAAAAAATATGTTCTCGAGTTGTGGGGAGCTTCAAGGATAGAAACAATGTAAAAGTTTGATTTTGTGATGACTGCAGAATGAACGATCATTGTAGTGTTGGATATGAAAGATTTACCTATAGGAAATTGATGGATGCATTTACTGTATTTCTGTAAACATGGGGACTAATATAATCAAATATTTGCATTATGCATTTAAGCCCAACAAAGATGGTTTGCAGTTGATCATCCAATTATTATTTCTCCAAGAAGGTTTCAAGACTGTTGGGTGTGGTCTTAGTTTATCAAGGTTTAGAGGAGATTTACTGTGATCCATCACATTAAGCATCAATAGTCCTATTAAAAAGAGGATTGGCCTGTGAGAGTTCTATTTCTAGTGAATTTTGGATACTGACATAAAAATTGCAAACCTCAAATGATTAAGGTGAAGTTGAATGCTAGGACAAGTTTTCATGTTTGTCTCACTTCAGTAAAGTTCATCAAGGAACCACTTGTGTCAATGTGAATGTATAATGCCAGAATCTTTTCATGTGCAGGTAGTGATGCCTACAGTAGAAGCAGATGTGGCATTTGGCCTTGGTAAGTTCAACCTAACCCCTGATGTAGTCAAATGTAGAGTATCAAAAGCTTTGGATGCTGTCAGTATGTTGAACTACATGCAGGTAATGTAGAAACAAAATGGTTAAAATATCACTAGAGCACCCACCAAACATTTTAGCAAGAATTTCACATGTTTATCTTTTGTTGCATTAGAGGTCAGTTCAGACTCTCAGTGGTGGCCAGAAGCAAAGAGTTGCCATTGCTGGTGCTTTAGCTGAAGCATGTAAAGTTCTGTTGTTGGATGAGCTTACGACATTTTTGGATGAAAATGATCAGGTACTATTTTTTTATTTTTTTTATAAATAATGATTGACATGAAACAGCAAGGCTGCTTATTTATAATGTTGTCTGATGGAACACAATTGCGACAAGCTGAACTGCGTAGGAAAAGACAATTTGTACCCAAAACGTTAGAAAAGCACTCATGATTTTCCCCTTCACAGCATATTCTTGCATTTTGCTGGTCTAAAGAACTAAGGGTCATTTGGATAAGAGTAATACTCTTCCCAGACGTATATTGCAAGACAAATGTTTTATGTTGAGCTGTGAATTGGTACCACAGATTTTGGAAAAAGCCAACCTGATCAATGGTCCATTATCACAGTCTGGCAAGAGAACGTTTCTCGTTTGGATAGAGGATTTAAAATGAAAATTTTGAACTTTAAAACTGTTGATCTTTTACATTCTTTTGAGCATTTCAAATCCCTTCTATCCTTAAATAATCAAATTTACATGTGGAGTTTATCAACACAATAAATTCATATTTCTAAAGCTCTCAGATTTTAAATCCTTCCATCCACATGGACCAACGAAATTAAAGTTTGAATTCATAAGCATTTAGTTTACACGCAACCATCTCAAAGTCAGATGATGGGACATAGTTATCTTATTGTAATCTGGTCTTGATTTAGGGAATTCTATCAGACGGTGCTTAAGGTCATAATTGGACAGTATGCTACTGCTTGTAGAGTCGGTTGGGCACCTTTATATGGCTTTGATTACCTTATAATTGATTTACTTAACCAGTGATCTTATTCTGAGTTCCATACAATAATCTTTCTGAGATAGTTTCTTCGCAGGATCACCATTTTCTGGAAAAGAGTAATTACCATCTCTTTGTTTCATCTTATTTTACTGTTACTAAGTTTTGGCTTTTATGACCAGATTGGGGTGATCAGGGCAGTTAGGAATTCTGTGGATAGTTCTAGAGAAGTTACTGCATTATGGGTCACCCATCGTCTCGAGGAACTTGAGTATGCAGATGGTGCTGTCTATATGGAAGATGGGAGAGTTGTAATGCATGGCAATGCAACAGACATTATGAATTTCATTACAACCAGGCAATCAGCTTATATAAAGGAAATCAATTATTGAGAGATCATTTGGCACTTTGCGTTTATAATGATAAATTAATTTCTGGTTTTAGCTTTGTAACTTGTTAGCCGAGGTCCAAGCTGTTATAGGGTTTAACATATTAAATGGTCATAACCACTTTGAGCTACAAGCCCGCTGCTTTAAAAAACCAGTTTTAACAACCCAATTTTAGAGCCTCTCAATGGAGCAAAAGATCATTTACATATATTTATTCCATCTGAGACGCAGATGGAGATGTAAATTGGGCATTTATTTATTTATTTTTTGGTCGAAGTAAATTGGGCTTTAGCTCCCAAATTTGTACTAAAAACTTATGCTACCTAATCTCCCAAATGTTAGGGATGTCATCAAATCGCACTATACTTTTGTACGTATAACAGGATCAAGCAGTAACAGCAGGACAATATAAGCACCATCACAATTTCATAAGCAAAACTGCATTTAATGCACACGAAATGTGGTTTTTAACATACGCTATTGACACGGTCAAAATGCACGTGAAATGTCTAGAGTACTTTTTAAAGAGACAATATTGACACTACATATATAAACGAGGAGTGATTTTATACTGAGAGCCTTATATATGGCCATTAGGTGAGGTTATATATCATAACCGTTGGATCAGACTAACCAATTTGATCAAACGATTAAGAAATAAAATCTCACCAAGGACCATATACAAGGCCCTCACTATAGAATTCTTGTATAAACGACATACAATATGGATACAAATATTATGGGACACACAAAACCTATCACCCAACTCTTTTAGTTCCTCCTCCTATAAAAAAAAAAAAAAAAAAAAAAAAAAAAAAAAAAAACCCCTCTTCTTCTTATTTTTTTTTATACAAAAAAGAATACAATTATAAGCAGAAACCACGTGGACACGCAAACCAAATCATATCAAAATAAAATGAAAAGAAATCACGCGGACATGCAGACCATATCAGATCAAAATAAACGGAAAGGAACAGTTCATAGACAGCCCATACTCTTCTAGTTTCTATTCAAAATGGAACTAAGGTGGTTGCTCATCCCACTATTATTAAAATGGACATTGCTTGCTCAGCTCAGTTGTTCTTTTCAATCTCAAACTTTTTATTTGGAGATCCACTATTTGTATAAAATGGACTTTGCTCATTGCCGAACTTAAAGAATCTACTATTTTAGTTGAGGGCTGCCAAAAATGGGCCAATGTGGTTCACTTTTCAAATGCCACTATGATGAGTGGATCTTTACTAACACATTCCAGCTTCTTTTCTGAAAGCTTTTAGGTAAAGACAAATCACATACTTCCTCCACACACCCCTAACTTCCTTCCACCATTCCACATTCAATCTTCAGATTTGAAGAAAATACCAAATTCCAGTTCTAAAAATAAATCAACAAGAAAAATTACATGACTTTGTATAACTGAGTTAAATTACTAAAGGAAAAGTTTAAAAATAAATAACCATACAGCTCAAATTATAGCGTCCAATAATGATTTAGTTCGGTTTGATTTATATGCTAATTTTAGTTCAAACGAACCAATCCATAATAGTTTAGTTCGTTTGATTTATCCGCTAGTTTTTAGTTCAAACCAACCGATGCTTACTGCTTAAAATAATTGATTGAAACTAATCCAATTATGGCATACCCACCCTATTTGTAATAATTCGAACAGAATACAAACTGATGAGGCAAAAGAATAAAATCTCTGATGCAGCCACTGAAAACAACGAAGCATACTAGCAGACATTCCACCTACAATGTCATTTAGAATTAATTAAATCAAAACCATCCCACACACACACACACACACACACACACTGTTTTTCTCAAAAAAGAAAAATAAATCGAAATAATGGAAAAGAAGACGCTTAAATATGTTGGAGTCAAAATAGACGTTCTTTCTTTGTCCAGGCTTCATTTTCATGTCAGCATTGACGCCTCGGGTTGGACCACCATCCCTCTATTTGGCGCTCCATCTGCAACTAACAGATCGAGAGAGAGAGGAGCTTCTCGTTGGACTAATATATAGCAGGAGAGAAGCTTACAAAAAGAGCCAAGCTTCTCCAGAGTCAAAGGTTTCTGGGTAAGCGGAAGAAGAAGGAGAAGCTCTTGCTGGGTTGAATGGTAGTTGGGTAGAGAGATCCTTCACGGCCTCTTCTAACTGGCTGGAGAAAGGCAGGCCTGAACAAAGTGAAAGAGGTGACTGAGCTCTGCCGTCTTTTTTCTTTTCTACTTAGTACTGAATGCTCTGTCAAGTTTGAATCTTTTGATTTGGTAGTGCTATTTTGCTGGGTTGGTAGATTGTTTGATTAATTTGGTTAAATCGAGCGTTGGATTTGGCTTAATTAGGAATTTACAACTCTAATTCAGTTTGGATTTTTGGGTTTAGGGATTTCTTAGCTCTTCTTCATGTTCAATTTCGGTGAAGTTCAGTTGAAATTTATACAAATTTGGGAACTTTCCATCTTTGCATCCGATATTTCCACCAATATGCCGATGAAGTTGATTCATCATTTATGTTGGCAAGGTTTTTAGATTGATTCCACAAACAAATTAGAAGAGAGGTAGTAGTTGTCGATTGGAAAGTAAAGAGAAGACAAGACAAGTAGTAAGCAGGTTTGCTTATGTCTGATGGTGTCACATGCTCCTTAAAATCATTTCTTTCTCATTCGCATTTGTGATATATTTGCCATTAGTGTTGGTTGTAATGCTTCATGTTATATTCATGCATCATCTTGCTATGTGGTTTTTGCTACATATTTCAGCCATCTTTTGGCATATTACTTGCATTTAAGCTGCGTAGTTTTGAGTAATGATTACTCGCATGCATACCCAGGAAGAGCAAACAGAATAGCAAATGCTCACAGCCCCAGTAAGTCTTCAGTGGCCAAAAACAGTGAAAAAGGTCAAAGACTCTTGTATAAAATCTGCCCACTTACCTTTTGTTTCTGAAAGCTGTAATATTCTCACCATTATTTTAGAGACACTTGATGCATTACCATTTGATTTGGAGAACATTGGAGCCATTGAAGCAGCCAAATGGATACGGACTGTTTTCCAGTTGGAATTTTATAAAAGAAGAAGCATAAGATATCCTGCCAAAATCGAAAACTTGTCATTAAAGAAACTTTGAAAGTAAGGGTAGACTTCTCATGTATGGGAAGTCTCTACATAACCATCCAATACATGGCAGGCCTTCCATGCTTTACTTCCTCAGATTAGAGCGTTGAAAGTTGATTCTTCTATCAGTTTTTGACTCAATATGTCGTATAGAAAATCATTATTGATAATTGAGAACATATTCTGCTATTTGTATAAGTGTAGTTCCATTGTTGTGGATGTATATTTACCATTTTGTTTGTATTTGAGTGTTGGCTTGGAATTATAAGTTTTCTTGTCCTTTTTCCGATTCTCCAAGTAATAAATTAGTTGCAAGCACTTGACTATGCTAATTACTCAAGTGTTAGTGATGGTTACCTTTTTGTTGGTTGAATATACAGAAGATATAATTCTCTTTGTGGCTTTGTCCTTTTTTTTGTAGCTCTTTTCTTCTTTTCACTTTTATTTTACCTGCAAGATACTTTTCACTCTTATGTGACCTGTAAAATCTGTTTGGAACCAGTCCATATGTTCTCTATTTTCAGAATGAGTTCTCTCAGCCTATCTGTAAGTCTGTGTTTGCGTGTCTGTCTCTACCTCTCTCCTCCTCCTTGTCTCTTATCTAACGAGTGTAGAAAAGAGTTGTAATTATCTTGTTAAATTTTCATATAGGTTTTTATTTCCAATGAATCAGTTTGAAAAGAATGAAACTGACTTGGAAGGCGGAAAATTGTTAAAAGATGGAGATAAAGCAACACGAGGTAATAAGGTGGTTAAATCACAGAATCAGGCCTTGTTGGCTGGTCTTGCATATTGCATATCGTCCTGCAGCATGATATTAGTTAACAAATTCGTGCTTTCGAGCTACAACTTTGATGCTGGAATTTCTCTGATGTTGTACCAGGTAATTACATTATTGATTTTGATTATTTCAAGTAGAGTTTGTATGTGTTTTCCTCCAGATGACATCAAAAGGGGTTTTTTTTTATACTCAATTCTATTTAATCAAACAATTTCAGATTACTTGTCAAGATCTAACGATCTCATGGTACTTATATGGATGCAGAACCTAGTCTCGGTTATAATCGTTTCTGTGTTGAGTTTTCTGGGCATAATATCAACCGAGCCGCTAACATGGAGATTGGTTAAGGTCTGGTTGCCTGTGAATGTTATATTCGTTGGGATGCTCATTACAAGCATGTTTAGGTATGAAGTAGATAGAGTTTTTCCTATTTAAGTTCATCTTGGTGCTTAATGGAGTTTGGTAGTCTTTAATTTGTTGGACTATGAGAGTTAATATCAAATATTACATTTAATGCCAGCGTCCATCTCATTGGTATGCAAATTTCGTCTTGATCCTTTATAAGCAACACTTGACCTAGTCTTCTGATACAATACTTCCTGGCCACTGCCAAAAACATGCATGATACCTCACAAGTGTTTTGAAAATATTAAATTCTTGAAATACATGTAATGCTTATTATGTACCGTTGAGTATATCAAAAGCACCTCAGATTTGCTGACATGAGCGTTCAGCATTGGTGTATCTTATTGTCCACGTAATGACATTAGCCTAATATGAGATGTTGACCCACATTCTTTTCTTTTGCTCTTAATGTAGTAGGTCTACATTTGTCACACCATATTTATACTCACATTCTTGTTGCATTAAATCTGGTATGATCTGGATAAGAAAAATACTGATCATGAAAGTATTCCTGGGTTTGTGGCTCTTGCAGGTGTAAATTTCTCTTTCTGCACAGTATTTTTCTCTTACTTTTCTTTATTTTTACTTAATTTCATGTTTGCAGCTTAAAGTACATCAATGTAGCAATGGTCACGGTCCTAAAGAATGTTACCAATGTGATAACTGCTATTGGTGAAATGTATCTATTCCAAAAGCACCATGACAGCAGAGTATGGGCTGCTTTGTTTCTAATGGTATGTTTGATAAGTCAGAATGTGAATTGAGATTCGGTGTTGATACATGTTTCAATGCTTTACTGAGTGTTCTTCTCTAGTCTTGCCTTGCCTTTCTATTTTCTTTTTTATTTGTCTCAGAAATTTTCCTTTTTTCTTCTTTTTCTTTTTGAAGTTTGATTCCACATCTTAATTCATCATATGATGTCAAGAATACCATGATGTGTGAGTATATAAATACATTTTTTTCTTTAAAAAAATCCATTTTTTCAAAATTAATTTTTTTAATCATATGTTTATAAATTTCTTTTTCTTTTTCTTTTTCTTTGGTTTGGAGCTTGGTGATGATATATGAATTGAAGACCAAATCAGACTGCATGTGTGGGGTGTAGTTAATTGTTTAAAGTCTGGTTTTGATGATAGCATCAAGCCAAATCAACTAGGACAAAAACATTTGTTGAATAGATGAAATATTAACCTCCAGGAGTCTGCGGGCAACACTTCTATGTTTGATGCTTTATCATAGTTCTCTAATTGTTGGGGGTTGATGTCCTGCCTGGTAAGTGGATGCTGTGTGGGTACACTTGCGTACATGTAGCATGCATGTTCATTATTCATAGCAATATTTTCGTTGATGGCAACCTAATGCTATTCATGCCTGCAGACACTGCATCTCAATATGAATTTATTTGAAGATGTTTTTGGGTATCATAAGAATATATTAGTGAGTTCTCATATGATAATGATATGGTTTGACATGGTTTTAAATCTAACCTGTGCAGATAATTTCAGCAATTTCTGGAGGCGTGACTGATTTATCTTTCCATGCCGTCGGCTATGCATGGCAAATCATTAACTGTTTCTTGACCGCATCATATTCTGTGAGTAATAACATGAAGTTTCAATCTGTTCTGTACACTTTAGAATCCCATTAGTCTTTAATTTTCCCCCTTTTGCATATAAGCTTGTATATATGGCAAAATTTATTTTAGTTTATTGTTTCATGACAGAACTTCATATAAAGTATATTAGATAACTACCACATTACAGATCCTTTATCTGTTATGTGGTTCTTGATATCTCTCCCCTCAGAAGAAGTTGTTAGCAATAAGAATATGAATTAGGAAAGCTACGTGATAATTTGTTTTTAGATCTACCTGATGAGAGTTCTTTTCATATTTATGAAAAATTGAAGGCTTTGAGTGTAATAGTGGTCATTACTAATTAAAGAGGCATTGCCAGACTATTATAGACAGTGAAAATCATGTTTCTCATGTGGAATAACAATATCCTTTTACCGGCATTCTGATTTGATCCAACACCGTCTAAATCTTTTCAGTTTCCTTCTTGCATATCAGAGGTCCTGTACTCTTCTAATATTGAGTTAACAAGATTTTTACTTTTATGGTGCAAAATCAACAAGATGTCAGAATTGAACTTTGTTCTTGTTTCTAAAATTTTGAGTGCTTTCTTGTAATTTCTTGGTCTGTGTGCTGACTTTCTTCTAACTGTTTTGTATTGTTTATTGTTGAATGTAGCTTATTTATTATATTATTATTTTAATGTTTTGGCAGCTGACTCTACGTAGGGTCATGGATACAGCAAAGCTTGTTACAAAATCTGGAAAGCTGAATGAGTTTTCAAGGGTCTTGCTAAATAACACTCTTTCTCTGCCTTTGGGGATTGTGCTTATTTTTGTTTTCAGGGAGGTTGATTATCTCTTTACAACGTGAGTATTCTGTTTGCTCTGCTTTGATATTATTTCCCCGCTTCTTTGTTGCTTTTGCAAGGTGTGGGTTGGGCTACACGTATATGTTTCTCTCTACCTCTCTTTCTGCATGCCGTTGCCTCTCCACGTGCAGGATGTGGCTACATGTGATGTGAGGGAGGGTGTTAGCTTGACGTACGTCATTGGCCTAATCCCTAGCAACTAAAATTCTTAAGGTCTAGTGGTTGTCTAATATATGCCACATCTACCACCACATTGTCTACTGTGTTATATTGATGTAATTAATTTTTTTTATAACAATAAAGATGGATGGTTGTAGTCTAAATTATATGCTTGCAAGTTATGAGTTTAGCCATAGTTCATATTTAATGTGTGGGAGGGTTATCAAAGCCCTTCTCCTATCTAAGGTCATTTTGGTTAATGTAGTTAAAACTTTGGATGTTTTGGAGAGATATAGAAGTATGGAAACTCCTACAATACAAAGGAAAGTGCAAATCAGCTAGTGAAAGAGGAATAACTGCATAGACACACACACACACACACACACACACACACACACACACACACCTTCTTTAGAATTTGTCATATTGAATATTGAATTAGAATCTATATGATAGGTGTGGACAGAAAGCTTGCAACTACCACTTTACGATGTCGTTCGATTAGGTTCCTACTATTCTGTATTCTTCCTTTCCTGCCTGTTACCCTCCTGAAATATTTATCAAAGTGTGAAATATTTCAGATGGACTACACTGTCTCTAACATATGGTATAGTAATTTAAAAATATGCATGAAGTACTCCAAAGTTTGTTTTGTCATCGTTGGTTTTATTTTGTTATTGTTTTCTGCCTGAAACTGCAATGACTAGCTAATATGTGTATGCAAGCCCATTTAGCTATGACTGAGGTCTAGAATTACCATGTGGGATGTCTACTTGTCAACAGAAAAACAGGAAGAGCAAAAGTTTTACATTTGTTTTTCTTATAAAATTTGTTTTCTTTTATCCTATTGAATCTAATGAAGGTTGAATTAAAATGGCAGACCACTTTTGAGGTTACCCAACCTTCTGGATGGTAATGACGCTAAGTGGATTTTTAGGTCTTGCAATCAGCTTCACGTCTATGTGGTTTCTTCATCAAACAGGTGCCACCACATACAGGTAAGCTGAATGTAGCTGATGCATAGTATGATATTGTAGGATTCCGACCTGGTTTAAATGAGACTTTGATTACTGAGCTTAAACCCTTGATATGTTATTCTTAGCTTTCAAATTTATAAGTGATTTTTTTTTTATAATGAAACTTTTGAAGCCTGGTGCAATAAGTTTAAAATCCCTTTTTCCAGGCTGAATGGATCCTCAGCATTGATTTCTTTTGTTACATAGCATAATCTGGCCAGCTTGATATCTTACAGTTGTGGTTGATGTAGCCTGACACTTCCCAAAGCTGGAAAATATACACTAGGAATGGCCAGTTATGTAATAGACTTGGAAACCAATTTAAAACAACCCCATATTTATATTTATATGTGAAATTCGTTTCGTGTTAGTTTTGTGTTGTCGGTTTAGCATATGATTAATTGCTATGCTTATTTCGAATAAGGAGGTGTTAGTGACATCTCTAATGACTGCTCAATGTCTGCAGCCTTGTGGGTCGCTGAATAAGATCCCTCTATCTGTTGCTGGTATCCTACTTTTCAAAGTCCCGACCAGTTTAGAGAACTCCGCTAGCATTTTCTTTGGTAAGTTCTCTCAACTAGACTGGCTTCAGAATGTGATGTACTACTTTATTACTCTGCAAAGACAATAGTTTTGTAGCATTAACCATAAAAAATTGCAATTTGGTAGGTCTTGTGGCTGGAGTATTTTTCGCTAGAGCCAAAATGCGGGAGAGATCTCAATCCTGAACTGTTGTAACTAGTTAGTATTTGATGACAACCAAGTTTTTTCACTGTGTGAAAGCTGCATCCGGCTGCCTTAATATCTCATTCTTCAATTTTGGGAAATCATTTTATAGATTCTCATGAAGTCTTAAAGAAGATTCTGCTGGGCATTAGGAAAACTTCCATTCAACTTCATCAGGCCATCTAGAGATGTTGTGTACCAAACCTTACCACTAATTTTTTCACCAATCTGTATTTTGTTGTGTAACTCATTCCTCTGTATCATCTTTGCTAGTCTTATACAAACAATTATTCTGAAACTCGTGCTAAATTGGGAGAAAAATGATCTCCCTAAGATAATGTTGAAAAAAAAAAACTTAGTTTTCAGGTATATGCTATTTCTGTATAGAACAAAGTTGAAAGCTTGTATAGAAGATGTGTTTATTGTGTCATTCGCACGTATGAGTTAGGCCAGTAAGTCCACCTTGCATCTTAGTTTGAATCCCAAATTAGATTAATTTAAAGCTGTTTAAACTATCAATTGTATTAACAAAAGAAAGTATCGTGTAGTTCATTGTATTTCAAATAAGTATGAAATTGGAAATAAAAGAGCATTAAAATGCTGGGTAAGAGTGTTTTACATAAGCGGATTTGTCGCGAGCTTCATGGTGTCTCGGATTCTTTTTCAGACGTACGGACTATCTTTGCAGAAGTGTCAAATAGTGTCGTGTAAGCTATATCGCCGTCACACTATCGCATTGACGCGGGTTATGGAATTTTTCTCTTTTTGAAAGAGAAAAAATGTGTAAAATAACGTTGATAGGTGTTGCTTCTGAAAAACAAACCATAAACCTCAAATTTACCTAAAAATTGACACAGATCCATGAAATTGAAGGTCATACTTCGATGTTTCTAATCGATAGGTGTTGCCTTTCCTCCATATTTGTGACTTGAGGTTTCTAGTCGATACGTGTATGTTCTCTTCTTTTTTAGATTGTGGTTGTATGATTTTGGGCAATTTCAGAAATTGAATTTTTTGTAATTTCGGAAATTCTTATGTATGCTCAGGTATTTAGTTGAATCGGTTTATGGGGTTAATTATTTTAATTAGTTCATTTATATTCAATTATTCAATTGAGTTGTTTATTGGTAGTTTAGAGGGGAGTGCTGATAATTTGGGTAGTTATTATATATATATATATATATATGAGTTCTACTATTTCTACCCATATGTCCTATTTTCCCACCCCCCTTTATCTTCTCACCTACTATGTAAATTTGAAAAAATAAATCATATCTTTCCACCTACCATTATTCCTAAAATACCCTTTAATTATTAAAACCAAAAATTTTACCCAAAAAAAAAAAAAAAAAAAAACTCTTCATCTTCTTCATGTCTTTTCAACTTCACGACCAGAAATCCCAATGAAACATCAGTACAGTCAACCCCTCAATCCTTTTGGAAGAATTACTCAAATTTACCACTACCATATAAATATTCTCATCAGCCTGCAATACTAGCTTCACCGCTACAACACCACCACCACAACAACATGGCAACGACCAACAAGACTGCCATGGATTTTAACTGAAGTGATGTTATATGGATAAGGACCCGCATGTGGGTTAATTAGATTGAAAAATCTTTAAAATGGAATAAAATTAAAGGAAAATTTGGCCTCTATTATTAACACCCACCAACCGACACAATATTAAAGGTGGAGTTGCGAATTTGATTTTTGATTTATTTATTTATACTTTTTCAAAGGATTGGGATGGGTAGATCGGTGCTTGCTAGATTTGTTGAGGTCAAGAGGCGGAAAAATCTGGAGAGTTGAAAGAAAAAAATTATTTTCTTTTTAAAATTTGTTTTATTTTTAGGGTTTTAGAAGTCATTTTACAAAGGGATAAATTTGTCTTAAAATTTTTTAAGATAAGGTGAGTGGGAAAATAAGACAGGTGGGTGGAATAGTAGCACTCATATATATATATATATATATATAGAGCAAAATATATATATATATATATATATATATAAAGCAAAAGGTAGAGAATAGTGAAACATTCAAAATACCAAAAAATGCCCTTGGTTAATTCAAACATTAAGAATTGAAATTATTAATTAAATAAGGATAATATGGTAAATTCACTTTTTTTTTCATTTTAAAAAAATTAAAATTAAAAACAAAATCAGATAATAAGTCATACTTTTATGGAACATAACTACTCATGTTATATTTCTCTTAATTCTAAAAATAAAATAAAAAATAAAAAAGAAAACCAATTGGCACATGCGTGACATGTGCCAAAGGGCTAGTATATATAAAGTAAAAAGCAAAGAATAGTGAAACATTCAAAATACCAGAAAATGTCATTGGTTAATTCAAACATTAAGAATTAAAATGATGAATTAAATGAGGATAATATGGTAAATTCATTTTTTTTTCATATTAAAAAAAATAAAATAAAAACAAAATCAGATAATAGACCCTATAATTAAAACATGGCATGAGTGTGTGCCAAAGGCTAGTATATATTACGTCTTATCTTTTTTAGTTATAATATTTCTATTCCGAAATGGCTTACGCAACAACGCATCAATGCTTACGCTACATTATAACTTACATAATTTGAGACCCAATTTGCGATGTAAGACAAACTTTGGGTTGATATAAAAACTACTTCAAGAAATTTGTGATAACGTACTACTTACGATGTTTTGCTACAATTATTGTTTGGTTGGGAAACACAGGTTCTTGAAGGACTTGGAAGAAGCTCAGAAATAGCATCAGTTTTACTAAATCAAAAATATTACTAGGTAAAAAACTAATTGATAAAAATATTGCATGTGCAAGAATTAATTATAAAGAAAATCGCAACGACTAAGAAATGCCAACCTTATCATCTTGAATCACAGTCAGTCAGCATAGTCAGGAGAGAAAACAAAAAAACAAAATGGCTAGATGTCCATATAACTTAAAGACTTTTACCAGTTGCTTTTCAAGGAAAAAATTGTAATGATTGTTTTCTTTTTTTCCTTATTTTTTTTAAAAAAAATAAAATTGTTATACGACTTATTATTTATAACTTTGTCTCAAGCCCAATAATCTGATAATATTTTATTTATTAAATAAAAGCTGAAGTCATAATCACAATTTAATACTTAAACACGGATTATACACACAACCCTAAAAAATAATTATAAAAAAAGATTATATACAATCCGTTACTCGAGGAATGTTATCCTTATATAAGTCAATATGCAATTTTCAATAGGAAAAAGAAAAGTTTAAATCATCAGCCCGTTTGAGAGTGCTTCGAAGTGAGCTAAAAGTGTTTTATAACAATCAAAAAGTGCTTTTGATAACGTTTGGCAAAAAAATTTAGAAGCGTTGTGCTTCTTCATGAAGCACTTCAATTTCTTATGAAAACCTCAACGTGCCAGTTTGGAATTACTTATTGGAGTGATAAGTGATTTTTTAAAATTTTTGGGAAGCCCAGCCTGTTTAGTAAACTATAAGAAAATCACTTATTGTTAAAAATTGTTGTGAGAGAAATTTATAAGGGAAAATAGCTAATGAGGTACTTTTATTTTCTAATTATGTAGGAATCAGTTTCGAAAAGGTGCTGGGTTTAATGATTACGAGGGAATTATTTTCTAATTATGCTGGAATCAGTACCAACAACACTTTTAACAAAAAGTTTACCAAAAGCCAAACTGCTTTCTCACAACTAATTTCTCACACAGCAAATCTGACAGCAATTATTTGTACATCACAGCAATGCCAAACTAGGCCAATGTCTTTATAATAAAAACGCTTTTACTAAAAGCACTTATAAATAAAAGTGCTCTTAAAAAAGCACTCTCAAACGAGAAGTTCAAATTCCAGTCCTTAACTTTTATTTCACTAAATTTACCTTCAGATTAATTATACTTCCTTGATGAATTAGGACAAAAATAACATTTTCTGCCAACCAATATGTCCAAAATGTAATTTCAACCACATTGAAACATTAACAAATCAAATTATAATTTTAAAATATGAAACTTGACTAGGAGGCATGGTACAGGCTATGACATTAATGCCCTTGTCCTTTATCCAATATCCATAACTTAATTACTGTGACAGTTTAGGATATTGATATGCAGTGCAGTACTAATGATTACAATGGCACTACTTTTCTTTGCCTTTTCCCTTCTTTTTATTGTTTTTTTTTCACACCTTTTCTTGATGACATCACTATGTCCGTGGCTAAAAGTCAAGCTCCTAGGCAATACCAAACAAGGCAGAGGAAATAAAAATGAAGTTACCTCATAATTCTGGAACTTGCTCATAAATACAACTCTTCTCCTACAAGGAAGCCAAGATTAAATTTTACAGAGGAAAATCATGGGCAGTTTAACAGAAGAAGAACTTATGCAAATGGTGAGAGATTTCCATGAATCAGACTCATCAGCTCGACCACCCAACTCATTATCATCTTCACAGCCCCTCTCTTCTCCTCATCAATCCAAATATCTCACTTTACAGGTCTCTTCTGTTTTTCTAAAGCTTCCTTTTACTACTGTTTATGTACATTTCTCCTCGTTTTTGTTTGTTGGTAATTAATTTTATGCTGGTTTTTTATTTTATTTTTGAAAGGAGATAATTTGGAGGGCAACAGATTGTGAGATTGAGATTCTTGAGAAAGTGTTGATGTATTTGAGGAACACTGAGACTTTGATGGAACCCGACAATCTGAAAAACAAATGGGTTGTGATGAAACTAAAAAAGGATGGTTATGAAGCCTCCCTTTGCAAAACTTCATGGGTTTCTTCTTTTAGGCTCTCTGAAGGTACTCTGTCTCTCTCTCTCTCTCCCTCAATGTCTGAAAATTTCATTTGTTTTTAAAAACCCATTTCTGGTTTTGATGGGTTAATTTTTTTTGTTTTAAGTTCGTCAAATTACAGGTGATTATGAATATGTTGATGTAATGATGAAGGACAAGAACAATGTCAAAGTGACAAGGCTTATAGTGGACATGGATTTTAGGTCTCAATTTGAACTGGCAAGACCTACACAAAACTACAAGCAGCTCAAAGACACTCTGCCCACCATCTTTGTTGGGACAGAAGAAAAGCTTGACAAAATTATATCTCTGCTTTGCCCAGCTGCAAAACAATCTCTTAAGGAGAATGGCCTCCGTGTTCCTCCTTGGAGAAAAGCCAAGTACATGCAATCCAAGTGGCTCTCCAAAGATTGCAAGAAAGTCTCAATCAATATGGAAATGGGAATTATGGATCATAAGAGTGAACCCCAATTTACAACTACTCATTGATCCCAGCAAAATTAGGACTAATTGGGCATGCCATTTTGAAGCTGCAGAGAAGAGTACAGAGCAATGTTGTGATCTTGGATCTTGGACACCATTTTCAATTTTCCTTTAATTTTGATCCCCTCTCAATTTTCTTTTATTTCAGGTCAATTTTGTTGGGGCAGACCTCAAAGTTTTGTATGTTTCCAGAGCTATTTCCTAGGTGTCTCAGAGCCAGACATTTTTGTATTGGTTTTTTTTACTAGTATTCTGCTCATGAGGGCCTCAGTTGCTGACTGAAATTAACTTGCTCATCAAGTCCTGAGACTGTTTTGAAGCAGAAGGAATTAATGGAGAAACGCATGCCAACATTTTGGTTTGGCCTTGTTTTTATTTTATTTATAATTTTGCTTTTCCAATGAAATATACAGAGATCCACTATTGGAAAAATGGTTGTTTTATATTGTTCGAATTGAGACATTTCCCTAGACATTTGGACAAGTGTAAAAGGTGTCTGATCCGATGGCATTTGTCTCTTGTGACAGAAGGGGAGAGAGAGAGAGAGAGAGACTTGGGATCCAAGTCTAAGTCAGACAGATAGAAAGACTTGGAAAAATAAGAAATAAATCTAACAAGCAGCTTCTGCTTCCATGCTTATCCAGAAGAATCATTAGGTATAAGAGGGAGAAAATGATAGTAAATAATTTAAAAAAGCCTTGTTGAGACCCAGACAATTAATTATTATTTTTTTATACTCGTGTTAAATTGTGATTAACGGATAAAGGAAAACGGAAGTAACCAAGTATTTTCTTTTTAACAATGCTTAATAAAAAATTATTATTTTTATACAAGTGAATTTGAAGGAAAATAGAACTTAGGACCTCAATGTAAATACTAAATGCTCTTAAACGTTTTTCTCACAAGAGAAGAGAAAATTATAAGACAAAACACAGCATCGCTAAAAGTCGCATTCGTGTAATCAGGAACCTTCTTGACTTGTGCTGTGTTCGATTTTTTTTTTTTTTTTTTTTTTTTTTTTTTTTTTTTTGGAAATAAAAAAAAAAATTTAGTCATATTTAAGATTTTTAATGAAAAAAAACATGAACTTAGTATAATCTTTTGCTTCATAATGTGTTGAAATGGCTGTGCATATTATACAAGTCATTAACCTTGGAAACAACATTCATAGACAGTAACTCCATTAATGAGGATCCAGAAGATGACAACAAATGTCAATAGGGTTTGGTGAAAGTTTAAAAGCTCCCATTTTTATCTGGTCTGATAAGACTGCTATCTATAAGTTTGTATTGGACGTGACAATATTCGACATTATTTTTCTTAACTATGATACAGAATATTAATAAATCGTACCCTACTTCCATGGATCTACGATTGGACTTATAAAGGTTCTATAGTTTTTTGGGTTGTTGTGTTTTGTTTTAAGTGTAGGCATTCTATAGTCTTCTTTGCTGATGTGAGCATTTTCTTTCTCTGTTTTTTTTTTTGGGTCTTTCCAACTATTGGCAACATTATTTCTCCTTTTTTTTTAATTTTTCTTCAAAAGAATTTGGAGTCAAATAATTTGGCATTTATAAGAGTACTTCCACCAGTTAGCCCTAGGGCGGCTACTATTTACATGAATAGTAGCTGCCCTATCCCCCCCAACAAAGTGTGTTTCTAGCAGTTTTAGACTTACCATGGCAAATACTATTCATTTTTTTGTTTTTTTCACAACTTTGTTTACATAAACATTTGATTTGGATAATATTTTTGGATAAGATTTTTGGGTTCCTACGTGTCAATACTATTCATATCGATAAGATTTTTGGTTTCAAATTTCATATAAATTTCAAAATTCAAAATTCAAATAAATCAATACAACTAATAAAATAAAATACATGAATGACCACTAAATTATTAAAACAGAACAAAAAAATACAATGAAATGAAAGGCAAGCAAACTATGAAATGAAAGGCAAGATTTTATTTTATCAGATAATATTTTTAGATAAGATTTTATTTTATTAGTTGTATTGGTTGGTATTTATAGAAAAAAAAAAGTATGAGGATTTGGTGTTAAAAGTGTTAAAAGCGGAGGTGCAATATTGACTAAGTATGAAACATGATTTTTCGGAATAATCATTTTCTTAAGATAATTTTTGGCGGCTTTTATTCCTTACACATCAAATAAGAAAACTTGATTTTATGAGATTTTAATATGAAGTATATATTGACTTAATGCGCCATCATTTTTAGCCTAAATCATATTTTGCACTAAAACCGATTTTTCATTTTTTGATTTGGTGGGAATTTGATTTTCTAGTATTTTTATTTGAATCCAAATGGGGGTTACTTCCTTATTTACATTGTAAACTTAAGTAAATGGAGTAATACAAAAATAAATAAAAGTAAAAGGACAAAGACATTTACTTAAATGTTGAAAATGGAAATAAGGTATAGAGAGAAAAAAAAATATTGGCTGCCGTTGGATTGGAGCAAAAATTATGATCGGAGAGCCCAGGACACGACACATGGCACATAATTGTTGGCGACACTGTAGCGCTAGCGTCACAATGACGTCAGCACGAGCCAACCAGTTTTGCTGGGTCCCACCATCTTGCCCGGGCCTGCCTCCACTGCTGGAAACAAGTTTTTACCCCAAATCCCCCCAGCCCTCCCCTTGGGCCCCTTGCTGGAAATTCTCTAAGAGCATTTTGACCCTATTTGTCATGGCAAAAGACAAAGGGAGGTAATTACTGTTACTATTCACATGTCAGATTTCGAATAAGATTTTCAATTGCTACTTTTGGGCCACGTGTCTTCTATATCTTCTAAATCCTATTATAAAACCATACTCTCAACTCTCAACTCACACCATCATCTATATCCTCTCTATCCTTTCATTTATCAGATTTTACAAAACACATTCTACTTTCAATGTCTTATACGAGGAGGTTGTTGGAGAGGGCCGACTGAGAAAATAAAGAAAGAATGCGCAAAAATGCGCAAACGTGCTAAAGAAGAAAGGGAGTGGGAAGCAAAAGATGATCAAGTTGTTTTAGTGGTGGGTATGCTTGATCAATCAAGCCAACACCACCGTGGTTCATAACCCGACCGTGGACAGATGTAGGCACTCTTGGGGTAAGAATCTCTTGGAAAATTAATTTATCCTAAATTCGTTGTACTTTAGTGTTGATTTTCGAGGGCGATATAGAATGTAGCCCCCATTTGTTCAATAAAATCATGCATGATGTTTGCAATTGAGATGCATACTTCGTTCAAAAGCACGATGCTCTTAGGATTTTGGGTCTTCTTTCGGAGCAAAAACTTACAGATTCTTTAAGGTTGCTTGTATATGGCGCATCTGCAAACCAGGTGGATGAGATTGTTAGGGTGGGGAAATCCACTATCCTAGAGTGCTCGGTCAGATTATGTGAATGCAATCGAAACTATCAACATGAGGGATTACCTCTGCAAACCTACGCTTAAGGATCTCTAAAGACTTCTACAAAAAGCCAAGAAAAAAGGTTTCCCATGCATGATTGGAAGTATCAACTGCATGCACTGGCAGTTGAATAATTGTCCAATTACATGGCAAGGATATTATAGGAATAGAATGGGCCAAAAAAGTATCATTCTGTAGGCCGTTACATCATTTGATACCTGGGTTTGGCATGCATTTTTCGGAGTTGCAGGATCTCAAAATGACCATAACGTGCTCGATCAATCCCTGATATTCAACAATGTGTTGAGAGGACATTCCGCTCAGATCACATATCAAATCAACAATACCTTCCGCTTGGGTGAATACTACCTAGCAGATGAAATTTACTTAAGGTGGACGACATTTGTCGAAACGATTTTGCATTCCCAACCGGAGAAGGAAAAATACTTTGATGCCTACTAAAAGGGTTATAGGAAAGATGTAGAAAGGTGTTTTAGTATACTCAAAGCTCGATGGGCAATCATTATGGGGGCTGCTCGTATGTTTCATGAATAGGTGCTTCGGAGCATTATGATGGCTTGCATCATTCTCCATAACATGATTGTGGAGGATAAGTATGATTATGATGAACCAGAGATTCGAAGTTGATCTCATGAACACGAAATTGAAAAGAATTTATGAACAACACATTAGAGCAAATTGACAACCACTAGAGCATGAACCGTTGATTAGAGACAGTCGTTACAACAACCGTATGATTGATCGTTATACGGAAATGCAATTTCTTATATCCATGAAAGACGTCAAGTTGACTTGATCAAGCACTTATAAGCACTGAGAGACAATCACGGTCAATGAAGTCAAGTTTAATGCTTTAATTTTTAATTACGCTTTGTTTTATTTGTGGTCTATTTTGAATTATGCTTTGTTTTGTTTGTGGTTTGTTTTCAATTATACTTTGTTTTGTTTGTGGTTTGTTTTCAATTATGCTTTGTTTTGTTTGTGGTTTGTTTTCAATTATACTTTGTTTTGTTTGTGGTTTGTTTTCAATTATACTTTGTTTTGTTTGTGGTTTGTTTTCAATTATGCTTTGTTTTGATATATGTAATGATTTAAATAAATGGCTATATTATTGAATGCTTTCTCTATTCAATAAAACACAATCAATACAACTAATTAAGAAATGGCACCTCTTTCAATACAACCTAATGGTTTTTGTCATTTAACCAATCCATGTTGCTAGGTCCATTGTCACAAAAAAGCATTCTTCTCATAATATTCCTTCGTTTTTGCTTCCAAAATGCATTTGTTTCATGGGACATTTGGCTTGTGTCCATAATCATGGTTTCCCGATCTTTCTTGTCCATGTTTTGTTTGTATGCAGACTCCATTTCTCTTGCAAATGCGTCATCTCTTGCCTTGTCAGCCTCATTTATTTTCATGTTTCTCTCAATTCTCAGTGCGCCATTGATAGCAATTTGCTCTAAAAAATTTGCACATTCATTGTTCGAAGTGCTCATTCTCTTGGCTTTTGTCGCATTTCTCTCAATAGGCCTTGACTCTCTTTAGATTAGTGAGTCTTGATCGATTATTCAACTGTGAATTCGATGTTGGTGAATCGTGGAGCAGCATCTCATTTAACACAACGCTTGGACCCTTGGAATAATTTTGAATCTTGGACAATTCTTCACAACCTCCCAACATTGGTGATTGTTGAAAGATTTTTTGCCTTGGCCAATGGCACCGAACCACATTTGTGTTTGAATAATCTATAATTAAAAATAAATAAAATTGGAAATGCAAGAAAATATCAACAAATAAAACAGCAATTACAAAAAAATTTACCTCATTGTCAAGATTTTCGCCTCGTCGAACATTGTCCCTTGTTTTTGCCAACTCATCTATTAATTTCCCTAATTCTTTATTAAAAAAATTCACCTATTAACCAAGGCCATTTCCGTACGAGGCGAACTCAATCTTTTATAAATTCTTCATGAATTTTCCTCAACATATGAGAGAACTTCATCTCATTGCCCGTGACTGGGCAATGACCAACTTGAACCCAATATTCACATAACAAAACATCTTCCATGGATTTCCATGAGCCTCCGGCTTCGGTGGAAGAGGTCATTTGTATTTTTACACAAATATAATTTAAAGTAGTAGAAAATTTGGTGTGGAAAGTGAAGAATTTACACAAAGATAGGAGAAGAATTTGTATGAAGATTTGGTGTGGAAAGTGAATAATATTTTGTAGGTATTTATAGAAAAAAAAAATCATAATTTTTTGGTATTTTTTTCCCCTTTTTTTTTCAATTTTTATGTCGTTGGATGACAACGGAAAAAATTAATCGGACACCCCAGGTAGCGCCACTTGGTTTCTAGCCATTGGAGGAAAGCAGGCGCCAGTTGGTTCAAATTTTTTTACCGTTTGTGTGCGTGGTCCCCGCATGTATGTCACATGCGAACAGTAAAAAAATTTAATTTCGTGCGCTGGCGTCACAACTCACGGACAGGAGCTCGGGCTCATCTTTTCTCCGGACAAGATTTGTGCGCTGGAACCTACTTTGAGGCCTAGGGGGCCTTTTGCCTGGGCTACATGGAGGATCGTATACAACTTAATAATATTATTTCCTTTTCTTTGTATCTTTTTCTTTTGATATTTTAACGCTTCTAGTATCATTTTGCCAACAGAGTCTAGCCCAATGAAAAAAGACTTTGATTTGCAGACAAATGGTCTCATGTTCGAATTTTATGGCATCTTAGTTGTATATGTGAGAAATTTCCATCTTCTATAATTTAGACTATTACTTATACTTTAAAAAAGGGAGATTCACTATTATACCCAATATAGGAGCCCAAATTATAAAAAAACCATATATAAAATGAACTTTAGAAACACACCAAAAACTCATTTATAACATAATAAAAAGGCTTTTAACTTCTTTTAAATTACAAAACTACCATTAATTTCTTAAAACAAACCCAACCCTAAAATCTCATAAAAAAAGCTCAAAATACTCAATATAACATCGAAGTAAATTAATAATCAAAATTAAATTCAATAGGGCAAGCTGTCATTGTTTGGGTTTTTTTATAGAAATTAAGTGGTGTAGAGTTTATTTATAGTTTTAGTGCTAAGAATAGGTATATGACTAATTATCTTTTAAAAAAACACTTCTACTATCATTTTATGATAAAATTTTGACTAATGTAAAGTTCATTTAAAGTCTAATCCAATGTGCATAGCCCCCGACCCCCCGGCCCCCCTCCTACGCTATCAAGGGCTACCTTCTTTATCTTTTCCAACCAAAGCTTAAGCTTTTAGATTTAAATTTATTGGGTAGTCTTTATCTTGCCTTCTCATCAAATTCAAACCTTGTCCTCTTCTTTCATTTCATTTCATGTAACCTAAAGAACATATCTAATCAAAGTAAACTCGAACTTCATTTTTCAAAGGAATATACATGCGAAAAATACAAGTTTACTAAATTAGTCAGTAAATTAGATGTGACCAACTTGATAATGACCACTGTTGGGATTCTGTGGGATGTATTGGTAACACTGCAATTAACTGAGCCAGAGAATCCAACAGCTCAGAGAGAGAGAGAGAGAGAGAGAATCAATAATCATGATATGAACAGAGCCTGCATCTGCAAGTTTACTATCAACTCAGAAACGTTCCCCAAAGCCAAACTTTGATGTCTGAGTCTAAATCAAGCCGTCCCAATTAATTAATTCAAGGCCTCTCAGTCTCCACCGCAGCTGTAATTATAAATTACTGCACAGATATATATTTTATTTAAAATTTTGGAAAGAGAAGAATAGAAGCAAACCAATCATTCCATGTGGTGCATGCAATGATGTTTTTCTATTTATAGGGTGGTGGTGCTGGAGGCCGATGAGTTAAGTAGGATCTAACACACTTTATTAAGTCTTCTTGTTGGTTATTTTCAGACAAGTCTCCCCTAACTCTCCTCCTAGCTAGGGCTCCTAGGCTGCTCTGCTTAATCATTTCACATTTCGAAGGCACCAAACCAAACCATTAACGTACGACATAGCCTATATATATATATACAGACAGACTGTAGGGTTTAAGAAGATGGACAGGTTGCCAGGTTCTTGCTGCTCTTTTTTCGGCCCATACAGTTTGTCAGCTACCTACCATTGCAAAATTTAGCCACACATCTCTGTCAGTGATCAAGTAGGAAACTAAATTTGGATTTACGGCGTCATAGGGTTTAAGATTGATGTGCAGGGAGCAGGGCAAGGCTATCTGCCTTCCTGCCTAGACGTAAGCCACAAAAGACGAGTTGTGCTGGGCTCGGTTGTTGATGTATATAAAGTTCACATCACATCAACGGCTTAATACTTTTCATTTTACGATTTGGTCGGTCCAAAAATTTCCAAATTTAGCACAGTTCCAACGAAATTATGAAAATATTTGAATTGAAATGTACTTTGAAAATTTCCGAAATATATTAAGCTCATTTTGACCTTTCAAATTTTTGGGTATATTCAAAAGTTTGAATTATTGACGAATGGATTTTAAAATATATAAGTCTAAAAAGCTTTCTAAAAAAAATTTGAATTTTACGAATTTATGATTAATGTCAATAAATTTTCATTCCAAAAGTTTTTATAATGAAATCCCTAATTCTGATCTAATGCGTTCGAAAATCAGACATATGCATTAGCATTTCTCTTTAGAATTCAAGAGATATGTAAACTCTAAATATTGATCATTCTCATACTCTATAGTTTAAGGATGAACAATTTGTACTTATTGGGCCTGATGGGTACCCATTGTTATCCTTTAGCATTTGCACGTCAAAATATAAACAAAAATGGATCCAAATAACAATTCCGTTTATCAACATGTTTCATAAAAAATTCATTATGATAAACAACGAACACAAGATATCTAAATTGTGATAGAAGCTTCGAAAATAAAAACCCAACACATCTAAATTTTTTATAATTTATGTGTTTTTAAATCACCTTTGAAACATTTCCATAAAAAAAAAAAAAAAAAAAAAAAAAAAAAAAAAAAGAAAAGAAAAATGAGATCACCTTTTCCTTTGAAACTGTGTACTGTAGTAGGTTGTTAGTCATCACTTTAACATTAAAAAAAAAAATAAAATATTTTTATTTTTTTATTTTGCAATAACAACTTGTCAAAATAAGATACAAAAAATGAAACCGAAAGGAAACATTTAAATATATATATATATATATATTAAAGTTGGTTTATCTGAGTTTGTCTTTCTCAATTCCGTTATGAACTTTGTAGCCTAATAAAACAAATATTGTAAATAAAAAAGTGCAAAACGATCTGGTTTTCTCAATTCCTTTATGACTCAGTTTGGCTTCATGTCGGACTTCCGGCCAGGTTGCCTTTGCACTGTAAATTTTACTTTTACTTTTTAATTCTTTCAAATGCTGTCCCTTAAAATAGTTATGCATGGATTTCATAATATTGGGAGGGATAGTTTTCATGCTACTATTAGCACGACTGGATCAAAACTCAACACTCTCACCAAGACCTGAATTTGCAACAAGAAGCCGATACTGTAAATCTGTACTTTGTTGATCTCTCACATATCTTAAGTACAAACTGCATTGATACAGTAATATGTATATTAAAATAAAAAGAATAGGGAGATTTCATGTATGACAAGCTTCTTCTGAACAAGGCAAGAAAGTACATGTTAATTAAGTCCTAGGGTATCCGGCTTGGTTAGCGAAAAAATTGGTGCAAAGATGTGAGATCTCATTCTTTTCTATGCTTCTTATGGTAGGGAGGGAAACTGCTGTTAGATCTTACCCTCCAAATTTATGGGGTACAAATCCCCTTCAGTAATTACTCCAACAAAATGGTAACGAAAAGGCCGTGTGTTCTGCAGGAACAGAGGGTGATTCTGATGAACCCTCAAGTATGTGTGGCAATTTTTGATATTATAGCTGGTGACCATATCTAAACACCTGTATACATCCACAAACACTAGTGCACATGGCTCTTGAAATGAAAGATATACAAGAACCCAAAATTCAGACGGCATTGCTAATCCGAGCTACTCTCTGAGCTTCTTCCAAATCTTTCAAGAACCTGTTTTTCCCAGCCAAACAATAATTGCAGCGGAGCATCTCATATTAGACAATTTCAATAAGCTACAGTAATTCACTAGAATAGCCTCAAACAATTACAACATATAATTAAAAACCTCCAACAGTCGATGCATAAATACTTGTACCAAAATCTCTTAAGCAACTGTCTACCAAGCACAACCTCCCATTGTCCAGGATTGATCAGGCGAGTGGATGCTTAATTATCATGTTCTCAAAACTTTCTAGGAACTAATATGCTAGATGAATTGTACCTATATGGAATTAGTAATGCAACCCAAAATAACCCCAAGACAAGTTAAGATTTACAGAGGCCAAAGTAATCATGCCCAAAACTCTCAAACTTGCATCCAACACAAGAAAGACGTGGTATCAAGTCAGACCATTCAAAGCCAGTGTTAGATGTCAAAGCAGTAAGTCCAGCTAGCACAGTAATGTAAACTTCTTTTGCACTTATGATGCAAATGTTTCTGCAAAAATACAATGATGACCTGAAGCATACCTCTTAGAATTGAGAATCGCAGAACCACCAAGTATAAAACGAATTCCAGTATTCATAGAATTTTGTAAAGCTACAGAGCGAGACTCCTCGTATGTTGTTCCTCCAACAATGAAAATCACAACTTCTTGAGGCCTGCTTAGAGATAGTATGTGTCATTCAGAACATTATCCAAATTATTAACTTTTCTATCCTCGCACTATCAAATTATAACTTTAACAAGATGATTTACAGGTTATTATAAATATCATAGATTGCTAGTCTGAGTCCATAAGGATGTAAACCAGACAAAATGAAGTGGGGTGGGGGGATAGTAACCACAGTGATTAAGTCCACTAGACAGCCAGCCTGCCTACAGGTTGAGGTAGCGTGGCCTTGTATAGAACAGCACAGAAGAAATGGGCTCCAGGCAGTGTCAAAGTGCAGGAGCTTCATTTCAATGTTCCTCGCGGTTAGACTCTTGAAGACATGAATTCCTTAAAGTAGTAAACTCCTCTCTAATCATCACACACCTATACTACTTAAAATTTGGGCCAGGTGAGGTTGCATCAATTAAGCCCATCTACATCCTAAAGAGTTTAAACAAGGGCTAAAAGCTTGACATTCTCATCATATTTCTGATCAAATGAATGACAACAGCAGTAAATGACAACATTTTGTGCCACTAAAACTCTTTCTTTTTTTAAGCTTACAAAGTATCCCATTTCATAGGGTCATTGGTACATGGCTCTGGAAAGATCCATTATATACTTCATAACTCTAACAACATAATTTATAACACCTAATAATCTGACCTAGAGAGACTCAAAGACAAGGAACCTTTAGATACATGTGTAACTTGTATTTATTACATAAGGCCATCCCCGATGGTTGGGGCTCTAAAAGAGGTTGATAGAGCCTCATTTAGAGCTTTGGTAGAATCTTTGGGGCTCTAAAGGCATCTTTCTCACAGTGAGAGGCTCTATATTAGGGTTTGATGTTTTTTTTATGATGTAGGTGTTATTTTTTATTACCTTATTTATGTCAGTTTTTTTTTGGTGACATTTCAACCAAAAAATATAAAATTGGACAAAATTTGAAAACATGGTTTTTTTATAAAAAATTTGCCGTTTAGAACTCGAGCGTTGTAGCCCAAGTCAACTTTAAAAAAACAAAAACAAAGAGAGAGAGCTTGTTGCAATCGGCCAAACGATTAAAAAAATAGGAAAACTGGTCAGCAACTGTCATTTTTGGGCGAGTAGGGATGCAGAAGTCGCAAGGGGCATCACCAACAAGGCATGTGGGCTGGCAGCTTTTCCTCCATGCGGGTCCCACTGGGTTTTACGGGCTTCAACCAGGTACATAACTTTGGGTTCAGCTCCGGTGGGGCTCAAGCATATAGGGCCTCAAATTGGACCATTGGGGACCCTTTTTTTGTATGGGTTTCTATTTATTGGAGCCCAAAGGTGGTGCAGCCCCCTTTAGGCCATCCCCAACGGTGGCTCTAAAGGGGGCTGCACCACCTTTGGGCTCCTATAAATGCAAACCCATGCCAAAAAAGCATCCCTAGTGGTCCAATTTTGAGGCCCTAAATCCTTGAGCCTCACCGGAGCTGAACCTAAATGTATGGACATGGTTGAAGCCCTTGAAATCCAGTGGGACCGGCATGGAGGAAAAGCTGCCAGACCAGTGCTTTGTTGATGATGCCCCTTGTGACTTCCGCATCCCTACTTGCACAAAAAAATGGTTGCTGACCAGTTTTTTTTATTTTTTATTCTATAATCATTTGGCCAATTGCAACAAGCTTGTCTCATTGTTTTTATTTTAATTTTTTTTGTAAAGTTGACTTAGGCTACAACCTCAAGTTCTAAACCGCTAGGATTATTTTTTTAACCATGTTTTCAAATCTTGTCCATTTTTTTATTTTTTGGGTTGAAATGTTCACCACACAAAAACTAACATAAATAAGTGAACAAAAAACAAAAATAGCACCTAAATTAAATTACATCATAAAAATAAATAATTAAAAACCCTAATATAGAGCCCTGGATATAGAGCCTCTCATTGTGGCCCAAAAGATTCCATCGGAGCTCTAAATGGGGCTCTACAACCTCTTTTAGAGCCCCAACAATTGGGGATGACCTTAGAGCCCCAACTGGGGATGGCCTAAGAAACTAGAAAGACCCTCATTTATTATAATTTTGAACTTGGCTTTGGCATCAGTTACGTCTCAATACTTTTGGTACACTACTTGCTTAGAATGAAACAACACAACAATCCCCAAATTGCAGCTAAATTATAAGTTAGTGACTTCCTGGGGAAATTACTTTTTATTATATATATATATATATATATATATAATATATTCAAAAACCAACCTGCCCTGCTGAAAGTGATTTCCAACAAATGGGTAGTCCACATCTCTCAGTCGTCCCTTGGTGATGCTTTCCATAGTTTGGAAGAGAAGAGGCTGGTGTTGTGTGTACACATTCTCAACCCCCTACAAAATTAGTGAAAAAGTTATTTATAAGCTTGTAAAGCACACCCTATACTAGAAAGCATGAAGTATAACTTTCGCAAGCAAACCTTCACCCCCGAGCCATGTTACGTGCAATATTTAAGAAATCTCGATTTCCATAAAGATCCCCAGTTCGCTTATCCACACCCGCTTGCTTCAAGAGAAACTGGACAAGCTGCAATGCCATAATACCCATTTATTAAGCCTGTGAATTACTCTAGTAGCTAAAAGAAAGGTACACAGCAGATTTTGGCATGATTTCTGCATTGATTTACCCTCTCAAAGAAAGGTCAATCTCCAACAAAATTGGATGAGCAGAAACGAACTACACATAGAATAAAATACAAGTTGCCATCATTAATCCTCTGAATGAAGGTGGCTTATGAAGAAAGACAAACTTTAGGGATGGAAAATTGCCACTTAACATAAATGAAGAGAAAAAAAAAGAAACAGAATCAAAATAGGATTGCAGTCCTGGTTACATTACCCCAGGCTTGTACTTGGCAGACTTAGAAGACAGTTTGTTAAATAATTGCATCAGTTGCACAGGGCTTTCCTTCTCATAGCGCAAAGCATACAACATGACAAGTCGTAGGCGATCGATATCGGATACACTTTCATTGTTTAATAGATTTGTCACCGCCTGCAAAGTACATAGGAGAAGGAGATGATTGTTTCCAATTTTTCATGTTTCCATGGAGATTAAACTCAGTTGCTATCTCAAAGTCAATAACCAAAAAAAGTATAAAGTACAGACTAAAAGCTGGATTCCAAATCCTAACAATAACTTGTCGCAAGAATAGCAAATAAGGCAAACCAACACAGACACACTCATGGTAGGTTTTGTATCAACTTCATAGCACTAATTCAGCCGCCTGGCTTAAAGATAATTGTATAATAATTTCCAGGACCTCCACCCCTTTTGGACAAGGAACTAGTCCCTTCTCATTCAAGAGAACCTGTGTGGCCATTCAATCATGACAGAAGGCTTACAAGTTGCCATGGAAAAAAGAAAAAAGAAAAGAAAAGAGGCCATTTTTCCACTGTAGTTTCAAACTATCCAATCATCATCATATGGTTATGATCTCAAGAGGCCCCCTTAATTTAAAAATGCTCTAAATTGAGAGAAAACAAAGTTAAAATATAATATCAACCTTGTTTAAACATTTACCCCCGACCCCAACCCAGAGTTGATCATCCCCAATTAGCAGATAGTAATAAATGGACAAAACATTACAAAGATGTTCTTTGCTCCTTAGAAGACTAGACCCATGCGATAAGGAAAAAAAGAACAAGGGATACAACTCACATTTTAAAGATGATATTAAACAGTAAAATTAGAAAATAATAATTTCCCTCATAGGTAGTTAGGATAAGTAGAAACAATAGAAAAAAGTAGTTGTGCACTTGTAGAGGGACAAGGAGGGCAGAGAGAATATAGAGAAGTGGTTTCAATTTCAATTTACTTTTATTTATTTATAGAAATATGTTGTTTTTCAGTACCTCAAAAGCTGCCACCTGCCCACCATTGCAAGCCAACTCCTGTTCTGTCTGTGAAACTAACATAAGTTTTCTCTCTTCAACTAGTTTGCTCATTTCTGTAACCAGTGCCACATGCTTTGAAACATTTCCGTGCATCTTTCTGTACTCAGGGTAATTGTCAACAAATTTGGCCATGTCCTCTGCAACAATAAAGAATGTAAATGTTTAATTACCATAGTTAACCATTGTTCCAAGTGCCAATAGTTAGTAACCACAAGAAGTTATGAATCTAAACTTTTCATGTTTGCATTCTACAAACCTATCGTCTGAATGTTCTGGTTACTCTTCGAAATTTGCTGAAATTCATCAACCAACTGCTTGATGTTCATCCCAATATCACCAAAGTTCTCGTACATGTTCTTTTGAAAAAACCATCTTGTTCTGATGATAGCACAACCTCCTATGAACATCAATACCACAACTGTAATTATTTAGCAATGAAAATTACAAACAGAAACATGTGCATTATTGGGGGGAAAATTACAACTCAACCTGTTGATCCTTTGGAAATTTGCCAATGGTTCTTAAGTCCACTTTGTTGTCTTGAATACCAATCAATTCGTGAACCATTGCCTGTAATAGTGTAATCAATGAGCTGTATTATATTTCTAGTGATCTTATCCCGTTGTAATTTCAAAATGTATATCAACATGAGGCATTTTCACATACGTTGTAAAATGTCAGCTGCAACCACAATTACCTGATAGGTCCCTGATTCAGCAATGGGGTTACAGGATCATCCCTCCTATCAATTACCAGCAACAATGGAGAAATTTCTGTTCGTCTGAAATCAAAAAGTCCACTTTCCTGCTGGTACATCAGCTTCTGTTACATGCCCAAAATACAATATCAGTTTCCCTGTGCAAACTTTCATGGCTAGAATCTGCAGGCAGTTATATGACATGCATACATACATAAAAGTTGTGTCCATAGAAAAAGTGGGGAGATAGGGGCAGGGGAGACTAACAAAGTTCACATTCAAAACAGTAGTAATCCCCCCCCCCCCCCCCCCCCAACACAAAAAAAAAGAGCAAAACAACTATTGGAATATACGACTGTACTTACTGCTGTTTCCTGTGCAATCCTTTTCGCAATATCAGATGTTCTTTGATAACGAATAACAGGTCTTCGTTTTAATGCCAAAAAGACAGCTGCAATTCCATCAACAATTCGATCAGAGAAGCGCTGCAAATTTGAATGATCTACAACTGCTGGGAGCATATAAATGTGATTTGATGGCACATTCAAAGTGAAATGGTAAGGATCGCTGGCAACAAAGTCTGCATAGAACTCCTGCAAGACCAAGACAATAACTGAATCTAATATGAAGAGTAAGAAACTAAACCAAGATGTGAGGTGTCATAACAACTATACTATTGTTATTGTACATTGTTATTCTTATTATTAGAGTGACATAACCACTACGTTGCACGAGATTTATTTTTTCGTCAAGAAAAACTTTACTGCAAACTGGATCTGTCTAATCATGCATTAGAACAAGGGTGTATTATTATTATTTCTTTAAAAGAATGTATCAGAACAAGGATTTAATGGCAAAATGAAACCAATTCCAACCGTTAAAGGACAGAGCGACTATATTTGAACCAAAAACAATACATTTTGTATCAACTTCCTTACAAAAGTGAGTAGAAGAAAACCTGGCACCCTATTGATATTATAAGCTTACGCAAAAGTTACCTTGTCCCTATTTTCCTGTTACTAACTTACTACTTATTATAGTATTCTCAAATTTCAGTTATCCAAAATAAAACTCAAACTCTCAATTCAGTTAGCAATTGACATTACTACATACATAAATTATCAGATAATCCGAGAGAATAAGAGAGGAAACATTTTAGTGAATGATGAATTACCTGAAGTTGCTGCACAACTTCGTGCTCATCTGAATCAGCTAAAATATGAATCTGGGTATCCTTCAATATGTTGGAGAAAACTGTAAATTCCAGTATAGAATGAGAAATGAGCTCCAAATAATAGTCAACTCATCTAGGTATCTTCCAAACTCACTCCATAACCAAAATAACATGCAGAAAGCAAAACTTACACAGGTGATACTCTCCAAACCTAGGACCAACCAAGTGCCGGCGCAAATACTGGATATTCTCTGAAGTGGGTGCAAGGAAGTAAACGGCTTTGAGATGAGACATGGATTCTCTGGACTTGGAAATGGAGTCAACCAATTCCACCAAAAACACTTCTTTCTGAAGAAGCTCGGATTGCGAATACGCCACACTCACTATACTAACCTACACCCCATTCAATTAACAGAACAACCCATTATTTACTGAATTAAAATATGCCATTTTCATTGATTTCCATGCTTAAGAAATTCATAAACATTTCATTTGGGTTTTGGGTTTGTTTCAATGATTGGTAGTTGAAAGCGTTGTTACCGTGTGGGAATCGAGGATGAGAACCTTCATGCCGGAGATGTCCTGCAACATCCGGCTTATGTAATCCCGTACGGCTGAGACCAGCACCATTTTCAGATCTACGGCGAAGATCTGACGTCTATGCCCGTGCCGATGATGATGATTTGTTAAACGGTGTGTCAAATTGTGTGCTAGAGATGTGAAAGACGCAGATCTACGAAGACGAGGAGGTTGAATTGGGTGGACGAATAAGTGGTCTCCGAAAACGCACCGTTTGGTGTCGTCGCAGTTTGGTCTCTCAACGGTATGTTCTTGGCGGTTCAATGCCAAGGGCAGGGTGGGCTACTGCCCAGCCCAAATGTTTCCAAATAAAAATAGCTGCATATGTTAGCCCAGACAAAGAAAAAAAAAAAAAAAAAAAAAAAAAAAAAAGAGAAAGAAAGAAAGAAATTTACTTTACACATTTAATGGGAATATCACTTTTTGCTATCCCTGGTGCAATAACGTAATGACACGTAAGATAACTTTTTCACATATCATTGTGTTATTGGCATGGATAGCAAAACACTATCCCTATTACAAGGAAGGTTTTTTGCTTAGGTGGGCAGAGCTTCTCTTAAGGCAATAAAATAGTATACAAATTGCTTGTTTTAATGTTGAGAAAGTTAAAAAGCCAACCTTCATTAAATACTATCGTTACTCACTCTTCTAGTTGCCCTTTTTACCCCTCATTAGGTATTGTTTTCTTTTTTTTTTTACCCATTCTTTTCCTCATTCTTAGTACAAAGAAGAAAAATCTCTACTTAAAAACAAAATAATATTGCTTGTGAAGACAAAAGATAATAGTCTTCTTAGAGCATCTCCAACCGCCTCTTCAATAATTTTGTAATGCTAAAATAAGTGAGTCACATCATCAAAACCCTCTCCAACAACCTTGTTAAACTCAATCATCAAATTGCAACATCTCTCTCTCTCTCTCTCTCTCTCTCTCCTCTCTCTCTCTCTCTCTCTTTAGGATTGGTAAGTTGACCTTGGCTCTTCAAAACATTTAATTTAATTTTAAAAAAATAAAACATGCCTTGAAAATGTTAAAAACATGCATTTTTTTCATTTCAAACAATAAATACATAGACATTTTCCACATGTTTTCATATTTACATTATTTTCTATAACATTAAATTAATTGAATTTAAGAGTCTATTGGGGCATAAATTATTAAAGTAGCAAACAAAGCTTTTCAATTGGCACTTAAGTCAACAAACTTCAATTTGAAGAGTTACAACAATTGGAGATGCTCTTATAGTTAGTTACTCTTTGTGCATGACTACAACTTCTAATTTGATATTTATTTTCTAGAGATTTTTTGAATGAATTTTTTTTTTGGTTTTTTAAGTTTGGTCTATTTCATTTGGTTTTTGAGTGAATTATTTAGGGGAGGAAAATGGTGATTAAGGGTTCGTTTAGGAGTCTGGGAGGGCCAAAATCACTTATGGGGAGAAGCATCTCACACATGTTTCTCCATGTAATCACTTTAACCCTCCGTTTGGATAAAGAAATTGAAAATTACATAAAATTATAAAATGACGGAAATTAGATTTCCATAATTTCTGGCAATTAAAGATTCAGTGTTTGGATTTATATAGGTTAAATTTTGTAAATGACACTATGGAAATTGTGAAATGACGCATATTTTGGTGGAAATTAAACTCGGGAATTTGATGCCCGAACTTCCACGATTTTTTCCACGCATCATTTAATAAATTTCGCACTTAAGTTGCCAACTAAGGGAATTGTCAATTTCTTCTATCAAATTCCCAACTTTTAGCTAAATTCTGAGTTATTTTCCTTCATCCAAAATGAAGGGTAAGTGATTTTAAGTGATTTTGGAGAGAAGTACCTCCTCTGCGATTCTCCATAAAATCACTTAAAGTGATTATTGGTTTTTCCAGAATCACTCCTAAATGAAACCTTAGAAAATAAATAGTAATTTACATATGTCATAATGATACATATTAGGATTCAACATGAATCAGTCTTGCTTTTTTTTTTCTTTTTTTTTCTACAGGGACATATCATACCAATAGAAAAACCAATTAATAAAATAGTTAACAAAATTATCTTCTCGCAAAGAAGTTTCACGAAAGCATTAAAAATGATTTTTTTTTGTCAAATTTAAAAGTTCATACGAAATTAATTAAGACACAAAATTTTCCAAACATTCCAAAAATTTGTGTTTCTTGAAGAAGAGTGTAGAGATTAAAAAAAAAAAAAAAAAAAAAAAAAAAAAAAAAAATTATTAAAAAAAAACAAAAAGGTTGGCATTGGGATTACATTATTATTCTTATCCATTGTACTTCAAAATTCTTTTAGCACATTACTCAACTTTTTTACCACAATCATTTTAGCGAAATTTATGAAAAAACCCAAAAGAAGCAGCCAATTCTCAAAAACACCCAAACACTTTTCAAAATGGTAAAAGAGCCCATTATCTTTAGCTTTAGAGACATGCAAGTCCTCTAACTCTTTCCTCCACCATCAGCATGTGAAGATTTTGTCTTCAAGCAACCAGACCATGTGAAGCCTTTGTCACTTTGCATCTGTCCGATTGTTATTACTACACAACGACAGTATCAGATACAATGTTTTTGTTTGTTTATACATATTTTAGAGTGCATGTTGTCTTATTATGTAGAAGAGTTGTTTGTTTGCCATCAGATGATATGTGATGTATGTATGGAACTTCAGAGAAAGATAGAAAGGGTAGCAAATAAGAAGTATCAGATAGAAAAGAACTCTTCTTCTCATCCTTAGCCATGGTAGAAGTCGGTGTAAATTATATATATAGTTTGCAACTCCGAAGAAAGAAGTACAACAACACCCGAGAAGAAAAAATCTCAGTACTTCCTCCTTCAGTTTTCAATCAATAAAACTTTCTTTGTTTATATACTTTCCACTTATTATACTTACTTACTCCGACCATTGTTAATACCGTCAATTATTGTTAATATCTTCAACCACTGTTAATACCCGGTGATAACAGTAGTTCCAGCAACATAAAAAATTAAGTCTTTTTCTCTTTTATTTTTGGTTTTCTTAAACTATTTGTCCAAAATAGGGAAACACTGTTCATAATTATGTTATTATCTTGCTAAACTGACGATCAATACTTTGTTTGAGCACTTGGTCATGTTTGATATTTGCCATAACAATAATTGGATGTTTGTCAGGGAATATCTGAGTTCTGCTCCATAGCCCTTTAAGTTGGCGTCTTTGTAGTTCCATGTTCTATGGTGTCTGGTTGTTATTTTGGCTTTTAGAAACCTTGACCGAGTCCTGTTGAATAATGATATCAGAGCTTTAGTTTAGCACTTTAATAATATAGTTATACTAGTAAAGTACCTTGAGGACAGAAGTCAATCAACACAACTGATAAAAACTAACGTTTTATAACCTGTTAAAATTTTGTTAAGTACCAAAAAATAGTAAACCCTTTGCATATTTGGCCCTTGGTGGACATCTATTAGAATAAGAGAAAGGTTACAAGAATTAAAGAAACAAAAAGCAGAATACCAAAAAGAAATTAGGAATCTATAAGAATTTATAAAATCACCAGAAGTAGATAATTATCCTAGAAGAAAATTAGAAGTACAAAATAGCATAACAAAAAATCAGTATCATTTAGAAATCTGTAAAGAATCCATAGAAGCTTTCCAGGAGCATTTAAGCATCTTAAAAGAAAAAGGTAGACTTAGATAAATTTTATGATAGAATACCTCAATTTAGAAATTAGTGAACAACAAAAGAAAAAATTAACCCTAGATAATAATACATTAGTTTGCTATTTTCCACAAAAAGAACACAAACACCTTTTACATAGCAGCAGTAATCCCTTAGAAAATAGTATTATTAACCTTTTGATTAGTCAAGCAGAGAGTGTAAAATTTGAACATAACAAAAATAATAGGATAATTCAACAATTACTAGAATATTTTCAGAAAAATTCCTTAAAAACAATTAGACAAAACTTAGACTATATAACTTCTCAATTAGAGGATAATAATAGGAATATCCAAAAATTTCCTAGTAAGAAAGAAATAAAAGACCTCATAGATCTTATAGATAGTAAGCCAAAACAAATAGAACTCTAGTCATTAGAAATTATCGAGCAATTAAAATTAGAAGTGCAAAAAATACAATTAGTACCAAAAAAACATTAACTGAACAAGTAGAAAAGTTACATAGTAAAATAGATAGACTTTTAGTTTAATGTCATACTCTAAAATTAATAATAAATATATCAAAACATTAGAATAAGTTGGTCAACTAGATAAGGAACCAGTAGGTCTTACAGAATTTACAAAATCTGTAGTAAGTAGTAATATCCCTATTAGACAAAATAATTTAATTATCCAATTAATTTTAAACTAGCCAAAAAAGTAGATCAATTAGAAGAACAAATAACATAAATTAATCAAGCAATACATAATACCACTTCTACACTACCCAAAGAATTAGTTGATAAATTAGAAAATTTAACCTTAGAAAATAATCCTCATAGGAGAAAAAGTAGAATAAATCCATTTGATAATAGTAAATGAAACTCTTTAGAAGAAAAGGAAAAAAAAATAGTTAGAATAGAAGATATATACTCTAGTGAACAAGAAACACAAGAATTCCTTAGAAAAGGCTTTGAAAAATCTCAGAAAAATAAATATAATTTATATCAATTAGGAAGATTTGAAAATATGCATAGTATTGTAAGTAGCATCAGTCAACATGAAGTAAGCTGTATAGATAAAGAAGTAACTCTTAATTTACTTAGTAACACAACAATAGAACACCTTAAAAATCACACTATCAACAAATCCATATAGGAACAATTATGATAGGAATAGCTGGACTCACTAGAGCAGAAGTAGGAACTAAAGCATTAGTATACATATATGATGACAGATGGGATAACCATCAGCAAGCAGCTATAGCTATAACAGAAGTAGATCTTAGCAAAAACTTAGCAGTCATAAGATGTATTCCTAATTATGTCGTGAATATTAGAGAATTTAGTAAACACATAAAAATTAGCATAAGAACAAAAAATTATAATATGAAAT